GAGATCATGAGAGCTTTGTCCAAGATTCGGAGAAAGAGATGCTGTGGACCACAATGCTCGAGACATTCACCCTTCCTGCGGGTACAGAGGACAAAGTGAAAAGGTGGACTCTGAAGAAAATGGCAGAACAGTTTCAGAGCTTCAAGGGAGATCTGTACCAGAAGTATATACTGAAGGGGCAGACACCGAACTTTGACACATTCCCAAAGCTAAGGGATCACTGGGACGAGTTCGTTGCATATAAGACAGGTGAACAAGGGAAGGCGATGATGGAAAGAAACAAAGAAAATGCCGCCAAGAAGAAGTACCATCACCACTTGGGGTCAGGAGGCTATAGCGTCGCGATGCCGAAGTGGGAGCAGATGGAGGCTAGCTTGATTGAGAGGGGTATCGAACCGGCAACAGCCAATTGGCCGGAACGATCGAAGTTCTGGTACTATGCTCACGGTGGAACGCTCAACCCAGCTGATGGCTCACTGGTCTTCGGCTATCAGATACAAGAGGCTGTGCGACGACTAACAGATGCAGTGGAAGCCTCCTCTCAGGGCACGTTCCGACCAGACAGAGATAGGGACGAGCTGACACTCGCCCTGCAGACTCCAGAGCATCCAGGACGAACTCGAGGGAAAGGGGTGATTCCTTGGAAGATTGGTTTCAAGGAGGACATCCACACGTACAGGAGTCGGATCAGGAGCAAGAGAGATACCGAGGCGAAGATTGCAGACCTAGAGTTCCGGGTATCGAGCTACGAACTCAACATGCAAGAGGAGGTGGCAAGGAAGGTTGATGAACGCATGGCCGCACATCGGTCCCATGATCCCCAGCCGACCATTCCTCCTGCAATGGTGAGCCCGTCAGGAAACCGTAGCAGCTGCGCCTCAACGGGGCAGGTAGGATCACAGAGCATGGACGCCATGCAAACACAGGACGAATCGACCTGTCCCGTTGATGACATCACTCAGCGGACACCATGTGAGCTGCATATTCCTTTCAAGAACTTATCAATAAAGGTAAGATTTAGCCATTCCGCTAGTTGCTGCTTATATATGTTGATTACTAATAAATAATCTCTCACAACATGAAGGTGGCGTCGGGCATGGCCATCCCAACGGACCCTTCAGGTACTTACCACTGCAGGCCGATTCCAGCAGGATACTCCAAGGTCGAAGTTGAGTTGGTCGAAGGCGCGTACGAGGACCTCGAGCTGGATTACCCTGGAGGAGACGGTGAGACGCATCTACGAGACACATGCCATGCCATTATTCTATGGCGCAGGCGGTACATCATCCTCCCTGGGCGACAAGCGGCGTCTCGTGCACCATCTCCTCCGGCTCCGCCATCTCCTCCTCAGGATCCTGCACCGTCTCCTCCTCATGCTCCGCCAGCACCGTCTCCACCTCAGGCTCCAGCATCGACTCCTCAGGATCCTGCACCGACTCCTCCTCGTGCTCCTACACCTACTCCCCCGCAAGCTCCTGTTCCGGCACCTTCAAAGTCAAGGGCCCCCCCAGCTCCACCGCTTGCCCACACAAGGGCAACAAAGAAGGCGAAAGTTGACGCCGCCAAGAACAAGGACCCGGGGTACGATTGCACGCAAGAGGAGCTTGACGCTTACGTTGCATCAGAAGTCAAGAGACAATTCAAGCCTCGAAGTCCAGAAAAGAAGATTCCTATAGACCCCAGTGTCAGGAACTTCTTCAGGGGTATGTCTGCATCTGTCAAGGAGGCCATCAAGCTATCGGACTATGAGCAAACGCTGAAGAAAGCATCTTCTGGAAAGTCCAAACCAGTCCCTCAGCTTGGAGAGCAACCAAACCAGGAGATCGAGCCGTTGGTGACCGGTAAAGAAATGACGATAGAACAATTTATTACTGACACCGGTCTAACTACGGATCAATTGCTAGGAGTCGCACCAATCGAAAAGGCGGAAGTGAAATACATGTACGAACTCGGTAAACCGCTTGTCAAGCCTGAGCTGCTGCAGTCCCTACCCACACAAATGTACAAGTTCCATCAGCTGTACATGGAGATGAGCGCCACCGGTAGAGAGATGATCGGAGCGAGGATCAGGGACACGGACTTCTTGCAAGGAGATGACATTCTCTGGATCAATTTCAGGGGAATCTACGAACTATACCAGCTGGACGCCCTCGACGTCTCTATTATGAGTTGCTGGATTTTGTAAGTATATCGTTCAGTTAGATTTCTTACTATACGTCTCCTTTAATTAATTAGGTCCTTGTATATAAGTAGACCATAGAAAATAATATACTCCCTTTTATCGTTGTAGAATGGAGATTCAAAGGGCCCGACGGCGGAGGGTTTTCGATACTGGATTCATCGACCCTCGGAAAGTAAACGTCGCAATGCTCGACCAATATCCACAAGAAACAGAGGACAATCTCGTCCATCTCCTGAAGGCGCAGCATTACAAGACGTTCATACTGTTGCCATACAACACAGAGTTAGTTTAATTTTACTGTCTTCCTACATACCAAATTTCATTCCCGTACGAACTTGCTAAGTGTTTCATATGTAATGCATCCCACGCACATTGCAGATTCCACTGGGTGCTTTTACTCATCGACCTGGAGGCCTGCACCGTCAACGTATATGACTCAATGGATAAAAAAGAGTCTACGTTTGACAAGGTTTTCGAACTTATAGACAGGTACCGTCATAAGTTCCTTTGTTAATTAAGAAAATCTTGTTATGTTAATTGCTACTACGAATCATAGCTTTAAACTCCATGTAGAGCTTGGTATCGGTTCCGTCATTTGGTCCGCGGCAAATGGAGAGAAAGACTTAGGCGGAAGTTCAAATTTCCTGTGAGTACACATGCTCTACATTTATATTTCTCCGATTCAAATACATACAAGTGTATATTAATTAGATCTCTCGTTGTTTGTCATTTATTTGTAGTGCGCAAAGCAAAAGCAGGGAACTAACTTGTGCGGCTATTACGTGTGCGAGTATTGCCACTGCCTTGCAGACCAAATCATCACCACAAGAGAGCTCGATGTACGTACAAATAAATTCAAAATTTCATTACGTAGCGATTTCTTGTTTAATTACTAATCAATTTCATACATTCATATAGTTTATTCGCATGAGGGATAACCTGACCACACACAAGGAATTTATCGCGGCGGTTCAAGAACAACTCATGGGATTCATCAACGAAGAAATCCTTGATCCCAAGGGTGAATTCTACTACGACGGAAACACAATTCACCGGTCCTTAGCTTCTGAGCTAGCAGCGAGTACTACTACGTCGAAATCGTAGCTAGCTAGGACATATAATGGATTGTAATTAATACATGACTACATATGTTTCTATATGCATGTGTACACATTTTCTATAATGTAAATATATTTTGTTCATATATATATCTATATACATATGCATTTGCATAACATATATATGTATAAATACATATATATATATGTATGCATATATATGTATTGAAACATATATATGCATGGTTTATATATATATATATATATATAAACCATGCAGCAACAGAGGCATGCAAAAAAAAAAAGGTCAGCTCTATCTTTAGTCCCGGGTGAAATAACCGGGAGTAAAGATAGCGATCTTTAGTCCCGGATTGGTACTCCCGGTTTGGAAACCGGGACTAAAGGGGGGTTACGAACCGGGACTACAAAGGGTTTCTCCACCAGTGGTATCTTCCATATTGCTAGATTTGACGCTTGCATATTCCTCCATGGGCGCATAATTCCTTGAGCAACTTTTGTTTTAGCTATATTCAGGAGCAATCTGAAACTATACATGGGAGCATGCATACGTTTTAACCTAGAATATAACAAAGCCCAGTCCTTAATATTGTCCAACAGTCAGCTGTATAAACCAGAGGCAATAGCTAGGTAGGATGTGCTTTCTACACTTTGACAACAATCAGGTACCACAGGGAGAAGCTCAAAGTTGACAAAGATGGTCATGATATAGGGTGTGTTTAGTTTCTGAAAAAAATTGAAAGTTTGAAGAAAGTTGGAAGTTTATGTGTGTAGGAAAGTTTTTGATGTAAAATGATGTGATGGAAAGTTGGGAATAGAGGGAAACTAAACACGGCCATAGAAGAGAACTAGAAACCATTTCAACACATATAGTTGATATATGTGTCCGCCAAAGTAAATACGCACTGATTGATACATAGAAGATGTAACCACCGGAGGAATGTTCATTTAGAACTATGTTCAGAAATTTCATACTTTTTTTCCGGTTTCGCGAGAAAAATGCTATGAAACAAGCTAAAACAACTGTTCTACAGGTGCTACTTCTTAACCACCGTATAGCAGCTTTCTCAAAATATTTTTTAACACAAGATTGTCGGTTAATTTTCATTTATGAAAAGGGTTTGCTGCATAAGCGTAGTGTAAAAGAGTGCCTCGTTTTGTTGGAGAGCAAGGCATAATATTGGTAGTCCTTTTATAAAAGGAGTTGAAATGTGATAGTGCATCGTTCTAATCAATCATGATAAAATCGTAATAGTAAAGATTTTATTCTTAAGCCCCATATTTTGGGGCAAAAGGTAGATTAACGTTATTCCTAAATTGCATATGCTATCTAAAAGTAACAATGCATGGAATTGCCAAGATCCAATATTTTTCCTTTATATATTCCGTAATGCTTCACTTAAAACAAAAGCAAAGCACCTAATAAAATGCTGTTAGTTATTCATTTGTTTCCATATGTCATGATGTCCTAGCCATATTTAATAGGATTCATCCTTTTTCCCTAGTTTTGGTTTGCATTCAAAATGTGTGATGAAAATATGAGCAGCTACAAACTTTATATACCATAATATAGAATCTACCTGTTGTAAAGACTAGTCAGATATCAGAAGGCTGTACTTCAGATCTTCGATTGTGTTCACTATTAGTAACAACTCGCACTAACCCAGATCATTAGCTAGATCTAATAAAAGTCGGATATACACTAGTATATAATACTAAGCTGAGGTTGTTAGATAGCCTACCTCATTTGTTTCCAGGTGTAGTGTAAGCCTCTCTATGCAGACGTAAGATGATAGAGGAACTGAGCTGAAAAAGAAAAGTCAATATAAAAACAATAAGTCGTCATCTCGAACTAAATAGAAATTATGTAGAAGTCAGTATCAACGGCAAACACATCTCATCAGATCTTTGCAAAGCATGCATGTGACACCTGCACTTATAGGAAAGGACCAACACCTCACCCTACGCTGTAGTTCCTTAGGTAAAAAATGTTTATACTCGAGATCTCAACAATTTTTGCCCTGGAAATTTAATCACGTGAGGTAGAAAATATTCCCAAGATCCTATCAATCGGATCTAAGATGTCTATAGAAAACTAATATAAAATAGGGATGCTTAATCGACTAGTTCTTGCTGCAACACAGATTTGCTTTTTTTTTCTCGTAAACAAAAAGAAAATATAAAGACATGCTCATTTCAAAGAACTGCCAAAGCTAAACGTTTGCTTAACCAAAGAACGTCAGTGGAAAGAGTAGGTTTGTCTTGTTTAGTCTAAGCGTGTGCGCTTATGGCCCACAAGAGCTGGCCCAACAGCAACCTGCGGCAATAATAATTAAGAAATCTAATTGTCAAAAAAGGGATCACCTATACATTTATCGACAAATTTTCTACTAAAAATTTGACAGATGTAATTATAGTACAATTGTAGTGTAATTACACTGTAACTTATATATAATTACACTGTAACTTCTATGTAACTACAGTTTAACTTGTATGTAAGTTCACGTAATTTTGAATCATTAGATCTATTACAAGATTTGTTCTGGTGAGAAAGAAAAAAATCACAGCACACGTATATGTGAAAGGATTTGTTCCCACGACCTCTATTTTACTGAAATAACATGTTACCAAGAGATTCTTGAAAGTTACATACAAGTTACATTATAGTTACAGTGTAATTACATGCAAGTTACAGTGTAATTACACTACGATTGTACTGTAATTACATCTGACAAATTTTTGGAAGAAAATTTGTCGACAAATATATAGCAAATTTGGTCAAAAAAATTATTTTTGAACTAATTGTCAAAATCTTGGAGACAGATTTGTTGAGATAAGTCCGTGAGGACTTGCAACTTGCAAAATAGACAGGGATTCCAAATTTTCGACACTGCGAGGCAGTGAGCGCTTGTGAACTCAACCAATATAATACCCAGGGACTGATAGCTACTTTTTCTCTTGGTGGAAGGAAAAACCATCTAAAAAGCATGAACTTCTCCCAACCAATATGTTTCTATTTTGTCCACAAGAATGGTTATTTCAGAGGGCAGGGTCTTTTGCAAAACTTCCTTAAAAACTGGAAATGGGGTAAACGCAAATGGAACAAAACAAAATCAGTGACTACTATAGAGAGTTATTCTCATTTGACCACCTGAACGTATGGTGGGACGAATCCTTTTCTTACCCCCTCAGCAATCACCAAGAAGTACCAACAGATGACAAAACAATTCCCCCTTTTCTACCCTTCCACCAGTGGCTCAAAACAATCGTGAGGCTCACACCCATGTTCCTAGCTGATGATGATTCATTAGGTTCCTCCTGGATAGAGCCGAATTTAACAGCAAGCATCCTACGGTTCCAATCATACGGAGGTATCCACGGCAATCGAATCATTCAGATTGGACAGCTATATATATCAAAGGGGTCAACGATCATGGGGCTCACTCTCAAGATCTTGGATGATGTCCCAGGGAGCTTGTACTTAAATTTAAGTATGTATTAGTGGTATGGACCACTCAAATTGAGCGTAATCCGCACTGGCAAGAAATCCAAATCTTTTGCCAGTGTAGAAGACAAGAACCAACTTAGGAGAAGATGATGAAGATGGCTGTAGCTAGCTGTGGACGGACAGGGAGAGGATAAGCAGAGGGCTTGGGAATGGATGGCTGGATGCAAACACTGGGCGGTGGTAGTTGGTGGTTGGTAGCCCACATGACATCAGCCCAAAAAGACAGCAGCCCGTGTCTTCTTCTTCTTTTCACAAATTCCTGGCCTGTGCTTTTGGCAATTGCTCTAGTCCCCCACCGCATCTCATCTCTCGCACCTCCCTTTCAGACGTCATTCTCGGCTGGCTCGGGTGAGTTTTTTATGGCTTTTGGGTGAAGTGTTGGTTTTTTTGTGGTGGGGTCACCTTCTAGAAGCACAAGTGATCCAATGTCTTCCCCACAAATGGTCAGTGGATGCAGCGTCCGTTTGCAACTATCCTTGTCAATGATCTACTAGCGGCTCAGGCACTGTTTAGATCCTCCAAAATAGTAAAAGTTTTATCATTTTAAAGCACTTTTTACCATTTTGGATCTAAACACTAGCAAAAGTTAGCAATTTGCCATTTGCCATTTGCTAGTCCATAGTAGCAAATTGTGCCAAAAAAATGCTTTGGATCACTCTCTCTCTCCACCAAAAAGTGCTAGAATGGCAAAAGTTCAGGATGCATCTAAACACCAACTAGTACTTTTACAATACCAAAAACTTTTGCCATTCCAAATGCATTTAAACATGCCCTCAGCTGCAATGGATGTGAAAAAGGTGGCATGCAGTGTGCCGGAATCACGTAATTATTTTTTCCAAGAAAGAAGAGGCAGCTGCTCCTATACCCTTAAGAAAAGCTGAAACTGATAACAGCCAGACCTTTCCTAGTCATAGCCGGCGCAAGAATTCAACGGCTTATCGATTAACTTTAAATCCAGCATAGCGGCTCCATTATACAACCTTTTTTTTTCCAATGAGAGGTTTGGGTTGGATCGCTTCCGGCCTACCCAACGTCTAACAAACGGTCAAGATCGAAGCAGGCAAACTTTGATGCACTTTGTCTAAAATCCTATCACCCATAAATTATCGGGTGCTAGCTAGTGAGTGGTGACTGGTGGTGAGTGTGCGCTGATATTTTTGTTAAGAGAACAAAAGTGATCTTATCCTTCTGCCTAACAATTGTAACATCACAGTCGCATGCCCATGATGATCATCCCCTTAAGATCTTGTCCCCTTGCCCATGTATCTAAGTGGGTGTATTGTGTACAGACCTGGTTATGTAGGAGTGTTGGAGTCTTCAGAAAATGTACGAAGCATGGTGCATGCCTGGGGGTATGGAAAGGAAGTATCACCACATGCGTGCAAGCATATATAACCTACAAAAAAACATATGCAATACATGTGTAAGAATACTCTGCAAGTTACTGTGCCATTGTCCAGTCTGCCTCAGCTCTTTTTCAAGGTGACTTACAGGATGATTATTTGAGAAAAAAGTATCTACCTTGCAGGAGCATCTGAAGGTGCTCGTCCAAGTACCATAAACTTTCCAAAGTCATGGTCTTTGACAAATCTATTGATTACCATTCCTTTAATTTTGATGTACCTTGAAAAAGGAAACCACAGGGACTACAAGACGCGCAAACACCAGGTCATAGTAACCTGCATATCAAGGCACGTCCAAAAAAATGCTAAGATTGAGACATCAATACATCATAAAAATCTTTTGTTCTATTTCCCCCCAAGTCAAATAAAGGAAGAACTATGTGAACTTAATTAGTTTGTTGAGTAATGAAAACAGCAATTGCTTGCATGGTTACTAGAAACCCCATCCTAATCTATCAGCATGGATCCAATATCATTACTGTCAAAACTTTTTTGTTCTGGGAGTACTAAATCATCGATCCATTGCATCCTTAGTGTTAAACCTTTTCGTGAATTTAGTGTTAAACCTTTTGAGTTGGGAGTTCATAAGATCAGGATATATAACACACGTCAAAATTTTAAATTGTGCAAATGGTATATGGTATGTAACTATGTATATGTAATGTATGCAAAGTTTGACCACTAATAAGACTTGTCTGGTTTAGTTTCTGTCAAATCAAGCTTGTGTACTGCTAAGTATCCAAAGGGGCCACCGCCAGACATACAAGAAGTAACATTCACAGGAAACACCTTACACTATGGGAAAGTACAGCAATACATACGCTAATCAACAATTTCATTGTTCCACATTCCAAGCCCAACAGATACAGCGAGCAACTTTTTTTTTCAAAAACATTGAGACGGTAGTTACTATTAAGTAGTAGCAAAATATGGCAAGAACAAAATAATCCTTTTTTTAAGAGACGAAGCAAGAACAGGATAGCACATTAGACATATATGTACAAGAAAAAAAGATTAGAGTATTCTGAAGGCATGCATGTGTACTCCATTATAGAGCACTAGAACAACTGATGAGATTCTCCCTACCAACAAGGCGAAATGCCCAGCTGGTTTGACTGCATGCCAAATTGCTCTCACTCTTTTCCAACATGCTGCATACATGACATGAGTGGGCACATAAGTGCCCAGGTAACTTTTTTCTCTTGAAAGTCACATAAACTTTTCAATAAATCTACTTTACAAAGCAAAAGAGAAGAAAAGGGTTAAAGATGTTTTGACATTCATACTACATAGGATGAGTTAGGTCTAGTGAAGGTTCTACCCATGAGAAGGACCGTGCAAAACCCAAAAACTAAAGTAGGTGGGATATTGTGGAAGCATGCGGATATGATGCAAAGCTCAGTATAGCTTTACCTAACACCACAGCTTGAGCAACTGAAAGATGGCATATATGATCTTAAGTAACATCAATGATGTAGAGTGCAATAACCCCTTCTAGAACGAGGTAGGTCAGGTCCAAAAATACTTAAGACCTTTGATATTGCATCACAACCGGCACCTAACAAGAGAAAGGATTAAAAAGATATTATAACCTCTAGTGCACCCACCAAGCCACTCTGGTATGATAAAAGCTTGAAGATATGGTAGGCTCGATATGGATTGGAAGCTTCTATGAATCTTTGTCATTGCATCACGGGTGCTACCTAACATGCAGAGAACAAGAGATAGTTTTTTTCATATTTGCAGAATGACATCATGACTGTAACATTTTGTTAGTAATTAATTGTACCACTGTCCTTGTCTAACTCCTATTTTCAGCAGACTGTCAAAAAAATAACAATAAGAAAATCTTAGTTGTTACATTACTGTTGTTCCACTTTCAAGCAATAGCAACTAATTAATATAGTGATTCATGTCCCTCTCATGATAGGCAAGAGCAATGTAAATATTAACAATATGTACGAAATGATATGACCTGCACAAAGGTGACTAAGCTTGTATGGCATTATTAAAAGGAAATGTCTATCCAAAGGTTCAGGTTAGGCCTTTTAGACAAGTTATTTAAAGGAGTTTCCATGGTAGAGCAAAATTGTCTATGAAATAAATGTTTGTTGCAGCAGAAGCCTATTTAGATGTGGTTGACTTTAAATGCATAAAGCAAAAGTGATCAGCTGCTGAAAAATGTACCTTGCTAGGACAATATTTCTCAAATATTTGATGAAGATAAATACTGTACAGCAGAAGCAGGAAACTCAGATTCTGGGAGAGGTTGTGTTTTCTAAAGAGGTGTGTCCAAAAGATGCTAACTGCTCAGGTCATCCTACAAACAGACATGAGATGATAAACCTCAGAGACAGAATACCCATGACACAAGCTAAAAATATTTTGCTGCACATGGTTGAACAGTTGGAGCAATTGACCAGATGTTCAAAATAAGAACTTCTGGATGGGCTGGCCAATTCATGAAAAGAACATAGACATGGGGTCCAATTCTTGTTCAAGCATTTAGAAGAAAGCAAGAATTAACAAGGCCAGTCATGGGCCTTGGGCCTGAATTCCAGACCATCATTTAAGTCACACTACAAAAATTATGCCCTCCAAGAAAATCATGCCCTAGTTTTCAAGGAAGACAGACAAGATGGAGGAAAAGATATTGTGATTTACAGATTTCCATATTTACACCGCTTCTTGAATCTTTGTCGTTGCATCACCAGCTTGAGGATTATTACTTCACAAATATGATTAGTTCCTTACTTCCTTTGGATGTTGTTGATAATGACCGTGCTTTGATGCTCAAATCATGGGTTGGAAACTTATGCTTTTTCCTTTGAAGTATTTGGGAGCCCACCTTCATTTTAAATAGACTTAGAAAAAAAAGATAACCAGCCTAATGTTGATAAAGTTGTGAAGAGTGGCTGGCTGGAGGGTCAGAATTCTATCCTATGGTGGGCAATTGGTTCTGATTAAATTTCTTGTTTATCTACTTTTCTGTTCTTAAATTCATTGTTTGGTCTGTGAAGGCTATAATAGATTTCTGATCAGAATGGGTCTGGGTAAATGAAAACACTCAGATGATGGTTCTTGTTGATTCTGCTCTGAAAATGAATCTGTACCAAAAAAAAAATTACTGCAATGTTGCTAAAATCCTTTGGACAGAGATGTCGAACATGTTATCTCGCCAGGCCGGCAGAAGCCGGCCGAAGTTTATTAAGGGAAGTCAGACATGCTATCTGTTTTGGTAATAGTTTAAACTTTGAATGTGTTGCTATAAGTGGAAACAAGATTTAACATCCTTGTGGAATATGAGAAATGACCTACTTTTTTTTTCTGTGTTACATTGAAGAAGTATGAAGATTGTGCAGCACAGGATGATGCTGACATTGAGGAACTGGAGTCTGGGGAATGTTGTGCCTAGACAGCTATTATGGCTGATGGACCAGAATATGTAAAGAGTGAAGAAGGGGCTGGTACAGAAGAGATTGAAGATTGAGCTGTGGAGCAAGGGGCAGAGCTTGAAGTGGAGGAACTCTACCCTATGTATGAGAAGTAATCAGAAAGCATGTCAGGTTGTTTAGATTTGTGTGCCAAAAGCATGCGTTGCTGTCTACAAATCTTTGTACTCTGGGTTAGTGTGCCGTGAAGTCATCCATGTGTGGAATTTTGGGCCTGTACTGCTTCTTCAGCTTGGAACTCTGTAAATATGTTGGTCTCGTTCTAATGAAGTCCAGAACTGATGCTTAGCCCTTTGGTTCTAAGAATTATTAGGATTATCCTTGTTTCCTTAGTGACTTACCTCCCTGTATTCCCTTATTAACAGCATCATGCCATTGGGCCAGGTATGTTTTAGTATGCTCCTGAGCTCCATAAAAAAACCTTAAAGTTCTAGTCAAGGTCAAGTACAATGGAAACAAGAACAGTATCATATCCACTGGGCAATCATCTGATCTGTGCATGACCATAGATAAACCACTCCATTATTTAAGATCGAAGTTTCAATGCAAGCAGAAAATTTAATGGAGTGTGCCAAGAAATAGAAGATTAGCATGTAAGCTTATTTTCTTCTTGTGTTTTATATAGACATAGGCATATCCGCATATATCAGGATTGTCAACATACCTGAACCAGAGTGCCTTACCACTATCGTATCACACAGATGCATTTGCTCCAGCCAACAGTAATCTCTTTTATATATGTACTTCTAATCTATCTGTGGTACGCATTGATGCTTCATTTGAGCAGTGCTGATGTATATCCCTGCAGAACTGAAAAGCCCACTGAAAAAAAGGAAATTTTCTGCATAATTAGTATTTGTATTGGACAAACTAAAATGCATAACCATTCCCTTAATCCTGAACTCAAGATACAGTGCAACTTTCTAGTGACAGAGCATCAGACCATAAAATGTGGGAAGATTGTAATAATATTGGTCGTTAGTTATGAACTGCTAAAGTGCTAAGACAAACCACTACCTGGGTATAAATATAAATAGCTATTTTGTTCAAGACAAACCACTACCTGCGTATAAATATAAATAGCTATTTTATTCTTTTCTTTTACAATAAATAGCCATTGTGTTGATTGTTGACCACTATAAAAGACATGGCGGAAAACTTGTATTGTCAACTAAGTATTTACAGGATAAAGCAAGGATCAACATTCACATTTCAATTGGTGAACATCGACCAAATGCTCAACCGTGCGAAACCGTATCAGCTTACTATGGTTGAGACCAATATGCAAGTCATGTTGTCTGCTACGCAACAATTTAGGTCTGTACCTGAGGTCATGCTATGCTCTAGGCAGAAATTTACAGATTCCTATAATAAGAACCTGAAAGCCAATTTTTCAGTCACACTGACCACCCAATTGCAACCATTGATTTCAAATTGGCAAATTGGTTGCAATTGGGTGGTCAGTGTGTGTTTGATAAATTATTTTACTAAAATTCATCGAATAAATATTTCAAGTAATATCGGTCACATGAAGCAGAACTGTATGATACGTGGGCCCAAAATTATCAAATAATAAACATGTCTAAATATATCCAATATTGGACTTGTTCTGTTGCGTATTCCGAATAAAAAAATAGTGGTGCAAACAGATTTCAAATTTGATGCACAGTCTAAAGTTTTGAGGTATTCAAAATAAAAAGAGATTGACTAGTACTACGTGTAAATTACATTTGATCTGTTGGTGGCAACTACATTAAAGGTGGGACCCACTGTCATTAGTAGAGATAATTTCCTGATTATCTCCAGACTTCAGTACCACGTCGATGGGTTAGCTCATCTCTGCGCTCTGGCTTGGCTTATCACGGAGATTAACGCGTGGCGCTGAAAGTGCATTAATCCCCCTAGTGGGTTTTGGTGATTAATGACAAATGTGGTTAAGGGACTAATGAGTTCATTAAGTGACTTTCAGGTGCATTAGTCCAAAGTGTGGAAGATGGATGCTTGGAGACCCCAAAAAGTACAAAATCAAAGCGGACCGGAACTCGAGAAGTGCATAGGATAGTTTATCTTTTGAAATCGAGTTTTTAGGAAAAACCGTACTATTAAAAGGGGTTCCAGGTGATGCTCTGAGATATATCAAGTGCTCTTAGTGTGAACCAAGTGTCAAGTTTCCCTAGGAGTCATTTTTGCAAATACTCCATTTGTCCAAAAATGCAAGTCCGGAACTTACTGTCTTCCAGGTCCGGAAGTTCCGGTCTTGTGAAAAAGATTTTCCTAAGTGTAGTCCGGAAGTTCCGGTCTTCCAGGTCCGGAACTTCCTGTCTAGTTTCCAGTTCAAATTTGTGAGTAACGGCTAGATGACGTCACCTAGCCGTTATACATATACAGCTCGTTTCCAGCTCGTTCCTTGGCCATTCCACTTTCATTTTTCAAACCTAGAGCTATTGCTAGCCTCTCCCAAGTGTTTCTGGCCTTCTCCACTCAATCTAGAGCCTAATTCTTGTGAGAAAGAGAGATTGAGAGGGAGAGAAGAAGATTTGGAGATGTGTGAAGACTAGATCTTGGGTGAGCACTTGGAATATCTCGTGGGCTGTCATCTCGGTGCTTATTACTCTTGGAGATGATCTCCTAGACGGTTAGGTGTCGCCCGCGAGAATCCGTTGCATATTGTGGATGTCCCGGGTAAGTTTGTGAAGGATTTCCTCTCCTCCGAAAGGGAACGAGGTAAGTTAGTGAAGTTCTTGTGCTGAGATTCTAGAGGCTTTCCAAGTAGAGCAACCCACACTTGTGGTGGATTTCTAGAAGTAGGTTGAGTTGGATCTTGGTGGTCACTCAATTCTAGAAATTTGCCTAGGGGTGTTTGGGGTTGAAGGCTGTGGATTTTCTCTGGGGTTTTTGCACAAGTGAGGCAAGGGGTTAATCGAGACCCAGCTCTTTGGAGCTCCTCAACGGAGAGTAGGATCGCAAGATCCGAACTTCGGGAAAAAATCGCTCTTGTCTCTTTCTGTGATGTTTCTGTGGATGATTCTGTGATATATCCTCTGCTTAGAATACCTGTGCACCATCTTGTGAAGATTAGCTTAGTCTCTTGTTTCGAAATTTGAATTTCATCTCTGTTCTGTTACCCGGAAGTTCCTGTCTTAGAACACCGGAAGTTCCGGGCCTGGGAGGCCGGAAGTTCCGGAGTTCCTTACCAGGAAGCTCCGGGTCTGTTTGAATTTTACCGCTTCGATTTGTTTTTAAGTTTTCAGGGACAGCCTATTCACCCCCCCCCCCTCTATGCTTCATCAACGCGTTCAGGCGCTAGAAATTCGGAGGCAATTTCCATTGCCTCTGCCTATATAAGACGTGAACCACTAGGTGTCGCGGGAGAGGGGAGGAGACCGGAGAAAATTAGAAGGAGAAGAAGAGAAGCAGGGAGAGGCGCACAAAAACAACTCACATTGATCTATTTGCTGGTGGTGTTCCGAGGAGATTAGAAACTTCTCGGTGACTCGCCTGCAGTTCGTGAGCAAGCGCGCCACAGTGAGATTAAATATCTCTCATCGTCGAGCCGATGTCGCAAGTGGAGATGATGGTGGTAGATGGTAAGTATGATAAATAATCCTCTCCAACCCTGTTGGTAAACCAGTCGTTCTAATGGATTATCGGAGTACCTCCTTCTCATCAATTGGAGCGCTTTGGAAATCAAATCGCCTCCATTTTCTTGAAGCATAAACTTGGATTTGTCTAATCTGCGGATTGGATTATCCTCGTATTTTTTATAATCAACACTCTTATTTTTATGGTGCGCATGCCGGGAGCGAGCCCTAAATTATAAACAAAGGAGGAGTGGAGATAAAAAAAAAAAGATATATGCTATGTTCATGACCGACGAGGCCAAGCAATGCATTGGCTAAAGCTGAAAAATGCTATGGCTGTTATATATGTCTATTTATAGGCGAAACCATGGCCGAGTGCTGACAAGGCCAGGTCACTATACTATTAACACGTCTAGTCTAAAATGAACGGGAGCCGGATACACCGTTGCTGGGCACTGACGAGGCAAAAGCAACCACAAAAAATCCATGTTTGATGAAGGCCGAGATACATGACTGGGCACCGATGAGGCAAAAGTCACCCGCTTCACCAAATTTCCTCTACACGCCGACGTGATGGTAGTGTACTGTGACCGGGTTTTGGTGAAACAAAGCCACCCGTTACACATTCACTATATTCACCGTAAAATCTGCACCAACCTCAACCTTCAGCGAGCAAATAATTTTGAAGACGGCGATCACAAAGCGCAGCTTAATCGGAGGTATTCCATAGGCTCGTCCTGTGGATGTAATTAACTGGTAGCCTCATTGCTAGGCGCCGGGAATCAGCGAACTGCACGCAATCTCCAGTCAGCATACCTTTTCATTAAGCATTTCTCGCGAAGGCAAAAGGCGAACTCCTGCGGGAGCCCTCATGTATTTGTAAATATTCATTAAATACAGGGTTTCCCTATTTTCTGTGTGTTCATTGTTTTGTTTTCATCAAACAGTGTGAATCGCTGCAGCTGATCAAAATCCCAAAGGACTAACACTGAAACCACCCCTTCTTGGTGAATATTACATTTTTGCTGTTGTCGCCGTGCAAATGCTCCCCCCCCCCCCCCCCCACACAGACAAGAGACGATGCAATTGTGGCTGCGGCGTATGCCAAACTGCCAAGACGGTGCTGATCACCGATCAGCCAAACCACCGAGCAGGTCGCGGGCGTGGGGAGGCAGGCAACCAACAACCCAACGTACCAGAGCTGACACGACGAGAATCAACGACGCCGCCAATGGCGAACCAAAATCGCAATCCCGGCGCCGAATCTCCTCTACTCTGTGGAATGACGCGAACAGCAGAGCAGAGACAACACCCGATGGAAACTACCACATCATCTGCAACGGATTGCTCCCCCCCCCCCCCTTCCCCCATCCGCTTAACCCCACGGATTGCTCCCCCGATCCCGCGGCAAAACCCCTCAAACCTCACATCACACGCAGCAACAAGCAAACAAACCCTAGATGGAGTAGAAAAGCTGGAGAGAACTAACTGTAGATGCGTTCGCGGGAGCTCACCGATTGCGGCCGGCGACGGCTGGTCCCGAGGAATCCTCCGGTGGCACGGGTCGCTCCCGCGGTGGCGGCGGTGAGCTCCATTGCCCCCCGAGAGATTTTGAAATGGGAGTAAAAATCAAGAGATCAAATCAAAATGTCCTCGAAATTTCGAATTCTTTTTTTTTTTTTTGTTGAGAGATGGTGTTGTGCACTTGTGCGTTAGCGGGAATGCGGCGGACGACGGCGTTTTGGCGCTGTGACACTGGTGCGTGGGGCCCACTTGGGAAGCTTTCGCATTTGCAAGGGATCGTCTCTTCTTTGCTAGGCCCACCACTGGTTTTATCGAAATCATTAACAGGTCCTTCCAGGACTTGGATTGAAAAGGCGTGAAGATAAGCTTGTGATTTTTAACTCTTACATATGGGTTTTGCGCTTGTGTAATTGTGTTGCCTCTAGCACCTGGCCACCTGCTACGAGAAAATGGCCCTGCTCCTTTTATAATTTTTCTCAAGATTTTTACCACGGATTATTTGCTCCTCACTTCTTAAAAAATATGATTTCTTAAAAAAAAAAACTTTCTCTCCACTACAGTGATTAGACAACCTATTCTAAACTATTTTTAAGTTTAGTCTTCAAAATATTAATCATTATATTAATCAAATAAACAATCCGTGACAATAATCCAAGCAAATGTATATGCATCTCATGTTGGTGTCATGATTGGGGATGCGTCACTTAGATTTGTGTTGTGTTGATAGCATGTTTTAGATTGTTGGGTTAGTAGTATATTAGATCGCCAAAAGCTTGGATGTGACATAAGAGTTATTGCCTGTATAAACTATGCATATTAGCATGCTCATAATTTTGGATTTCCTCTCTTGTATGTCTAGCAATAAGTTGTTCCCTTTTATTTTTAGTGCCCCATTGCTACCAAAAGATTAGTTACGCTAGGTTTAATTAAAAAAACATAACCAATTTACTAATGAAAGGTCATTGAGATTTAAGGTAAGTGTTATATTTGCTGTGATAATTCAAGTCTTGTCCTAATTTTATCAAATGGAATCACAGTTTCACATGCAAATTAAAACATGAAAGATTTGATGAAGTCAAAATAGCTTGTCATGTTCCGCTATAGACAAATACATGTTTTATACTTGTCAAAGGAAGGTCATTGACCCCTTTGACAATGACAGATGCGGCTTCATCAGAGAAAAGGCACAAAAAGTGACAGAAACTACTGAACGTGGAGGCCACTAGAGGTGACGTGGACCATTGGAAGTATAAAAGACCACCAGCGGATAGTAAAGACCTTTGAGAGAGTTTATACCACTTAGATCCAACAGAGTAGGCTTGTCCTATGAGGCCAAGCCCCACAACAAGGCCCGTAGGACCTAGAAGTTGGAGGCTTGCAAAAAGACATGTATGCCCTTGTACATACCTATTTGTAAGGGGTTGGGATATAAAATTACCTATGTACCATACCCTAGCCCTATACAATACTGGGTTTCAAGGGAAATGCAATGAACATATTTTTTAAGAATTAAGAAGATTAGGGTTTGAGCGTACATCACATCAAGGGCATTGGAACTTCTCTAAGGCTGTATTTGGAACCCTAAGTTCCCAACCCCTCTACCTCGTATTCCACGTGCACATTCAAACTGCTAAATGGTGCATTTTTTTGCAAAAGGTTTCTAAATGAAAGTTGCTTAAAAAAATCATTTTGATCCATTTTTTTTAAAAAAACTAATACTTAATTAATCACACACCAATGGACCACTCCGTTTTCCGTGCACACTGTGCGTGTTGGGAACATATGCTTCCGAATACAGCCTAAGTTCTTGCCCTAACAAATTGTTGCCTTTGATAACACTACCTTTTTATTTGTTATACATAGGATGATATAAATTCGTCAATCATACAGTAATTAGCATTTACTTCCCCCTCTCAAATATATGACTAGCCTAAAATTGCACCAAAAGAAACACAAACAATAATTAAAAGGCTAGCATATCTATCTTCTCCATTTCTCATACTCAAAACTAGTTGGTGGTCTACCCTAAGCCTTAGATTTTGTTACCTAGACTCTCGTTGTAATATACAGATTTATGTCTAGATGAAAAAACAGGTCTTTTATCCTAGTATGAGAAAGTTTTTTTTTTCTTATTTTCTTTTTCAAAAATATATTGTAGGGTCATAACCGGATTTAGTTACTCGTGATCAATCTCCACAAAACTATATTTGTTGAAATGAGCTACATAAACACGACATGTTTTTCACATGCAAAATTTAGACACTTCTTAGATAATTCGTTCGTGAGCATAATAGCCTTTGCCCACGATTTCTTGAAATAAACACCCACTTAACACAAACTAAACATCTTCCCTAGCTAAGGCTAACTTATGCCTTTTATCATTTTGTTGGTCATGATGTCTCTATAACAAGCTATAATTGGCCTCGAAACTAAACCTTGGTGAGGTCAGCTTTTAAGCAAATGACCCCCATAGGATCATAGTCTCTCATGCTATGTACTGTAGATGACAGCAACAAATTATATGAGCGTGTGCTTTCAATAGAATTTTAGCAAAGGTTAAGGAGCTGCTGCTAGTCTCCATCTATTTGACCTTATGTTCGGGCACATATTCCCGGAGCGCGAGTATAGTGATATATGTGCCTTCACTCTTATCTTGAAAAAAAAAGAGACAAAATTTAAGACTTTATTTAAAAAGGATGGTCATTTATAAAATTTGAAAAGTATAAAAAAACTACTTCTGCCTTACTTTCACTACACGAAACAAATGAAGGATCATGCTGCATGAAATACCACATTCCACAGGCACCTCCCGCAAAAACACCGAAGGTCCCCGTATGAGGAGGCAGCTCGTGCTCGGGCGGCGAGACTGAGACGAGACGCGAGACCAAACCCTCCCCTCCCCGACCGCGCCCCGCCCAGATCTCGCCGCCGACGAGATGCATCGCCGCGGCGGCCACCACCTCCACCTCCTCCTCGCCGCCGCCGTCGTCCTCCTCCTCACCGTCGCGGGGCTGCCCCTCGCTTCCGCCTCCGAGTCCGACCACAAGGTGCGTTGTCGCCCGCTCCCCCACCCCCTCTCTCTCTCTCTCTCTCTCTCTCTCTCTCTCTCTCTTCCTTCCTTCCTTTCTTCCTTCCCTTAACCCTAGATCCGAACCCCCGACGTGTTCCTCACGCTGGATCCGCCGAGTCGCCGCGCTGGATCTAGGAGCGGCGGCGCGGTTTCGGTAGCTTTGGGTTCCGTGGCCTCTTTGCTTTGGGCGAGTGCTGCGTGGTTCGAGGTGCAAGGTTGATCTTAGCAATATGATAGGAAGGGCTGGACAGCTAGGAATACGGAAGCTATGGGCTGGAGGATTGGTTCGAAGGCTGTTCTAAAGGCTTGCTACTTGATGATCTTGTTTGCCATGAGAGTGAAGAAAAAAATCATTAGTGGAAACACATTTGGTAGAAAAAACGTTTTTGGTGCTGTAGTGCTTCGATTAGCTTGTTATTTGAGCAGACAAGCCACTGCAATTGTATTGCTGTTCAAATAATCTGTATCATGCTAGGCCTTTGAATAAGATTATGACAGCAGACTTTTCCTGCCTTAGCTTCACATCATCAAAATTTTGACCTTTTGGTGGCGCATCAAAATGCTGAGATGCGAAGCATTTCATGCTTGGGATACATGAAGCGCACACTGTTGTGGGCTTGTTACAGTTGATTTATTATCCTTTGGCGCCTTGACGGGGCAGTTATCCTTGTCCTTGCTGCGTCTTGAATGTTTTCATTAATTCTTTTTTCCTATTTTGGCAAAGCTTCCCAATGTCGGGGAGCTTACTAGTTGAACGTGTAATAATGGCATGCAGGGGTGGACCTGGGAACATACATTCTGGGTCAATGCCAATGAGCAAAAAAGGAGCTCCTGTAACACGGTGTTCACGAATCTCGAAATCCCACTCTCACATGCAGCCATCGAAAGAGACAAGAGAAATAACTAATATTTAATATTACCTTTATGGCTGTTTTTTAGGTCCGCTATTCTATTTCCCTTATGCTTTGTTGGATTTGAAATTAAGTTACTAGTTCTAGATTATATGGCTATGCAAATCCCAAAAAGACTTTTTATATTGGTTGAACCATTGAAGCCAAACTTTGTGAGGTGATCCTGGAATACTTATAGCAATATTTTTGTCAGGTGTTCTAATGCATTTTAGCAGTCGACGAATTTTCATGTGATCGAATAAGACTTGGTTGACATTGTGGTCTCTGTACAAGAACTTTTGGCACACTAGATTTGGATAAAATTATCATTCTTAGAATCATAATGGTAGAATTCTGTTAGATAAGGTAAGTATACTCTGTAGTGTAATTACATGGCTCTCTAGTTTGATGTGGAAATCTGAAACTGAGTGTGAGTCTATGTCTCTCTTTGATTGTGTTCTGTTATGCTGCACTCATGAACTGTGATATGGGAAAAATTTTTTTACCGAAAGTCTATGCTTCTTCTAGTAAGTATTACTGTTACTATTCTAAAAGGAAATTTCCAAATAAGCAATAACATATGGAACTTGCATCCTGGAATCCACCTAAGAGGCAAACAGAGACTAAGGATGCAGTTTTCTAGCTGAAAGCTGAAATACTGATTTCTGTCAAGTCTATGTTACATATCTACATTAAAAAAAACTCAGGTATCTAATTATCAATTTAAAGGATGATTTAATAATCATCTCTAAAAATGAGAAAATTGCATGAGAACTTTGGCTATAGTTTTTTATAGAACACATTTCATCGTGGTTGATATTGAATGTATTGAACAGTCTAAATTCTTCGTGAAGCATGGAAGAGCCTGCAAAATAAGCAAGTTAGGAACTTAGGATGAACCTTAAGGCGTTATTTTCAATTTGGTCATTCTTCTTAACACTATCACAAACTGGTCATGATCTTTGTTATTCTCTATAACTTAGAAAATTGCACTTCGTACCAGTATACAGATTCAGAAGTTTTGAGTGTTACTGTTTAACTTTATTGTCGCTTAGTTGCCATTTCTAAAAACTAAGCCTACTGATTTGTAATCACACTGAGAACAACTTTTGTATGTTAGTAATCACTTCATCTACCTGTTATTTAATTTTATGCAGTACAAAGCTGAAGAAACGGTTAAACTCTGGGTAAACAAGGTTGGCCCGTACAATAACCCGCAAGAAACTTACAACTATTACAGCCTCCCATTTTGTCAGCCATCTGAAAACCCCGCACACAAATGGGGTGGTCTCGGAGAGGTCCTTGGCGGCAATGAGCTGATCGATAGTCAGGTTGATATAAAGTTTTTAAGTAAGTTGATCTTTTCATACCCTCCTTGATTTTATTTACTTTTGGAATGTGCATCAATGTATGTTCCTTGCAACTAACCGATTTCCCTGACCATTTTACATTAAACTTCTTTGTTTTAGAAAATGTGGAGAAGGGTCCCATTTGCACAATTGAACTTGATGACAACAAGATTCAACAATTTACTGATGCCATTGAAAGGTCATATTGGTTTGAACTCTTCATAGGTATGAATCTGCATTTAATTGGGCATTGTTTTCTTATTTTGTATGCTATTTCTCATTTCTGAGTACTGACATTCTTTTTATCCAACTTTCTCTGCATTGCTTTCTATTGTCCAACCGCCTAGATGATCTTCCATTATGGGGTAACAAATTCTAAACCTAAATGACATTTCTTTTGCTTTAACACTTTCTACCCTCTACCTCTCTTGAATAACATGCAAGTTGCCTCTGAGCAGGTTTTGTTGGTGAGACTGACAAAAACAACGAAAATAAGCACTACCTCTACACACACAAGAACATTGTTGTTAAATACAATGGTAACAGGGTATGTGCTGGTCTGCTTTAAGACCTTAAAATATTAGCTGAAACCTATTATACTGGCTAATTATTTTTTTTTGCAGATAATTCATGTCAATCTTACTCAAGAGTCACCTAAGCTTCTTGAAGCTGGCAAAAAATTGGACATGACCTATTCAGTGAAGTGGGTGCAAACAAACGTTGCATTTGCACGACGTTTTGAAGTTTACTTGGACTACCCGTTCTTTGAACATCAGGTAATCTTTGTTCGAACCAACATTACTTTTTATGTCTTTTGCTGGACAGTTTTTGTGCTATAATTTACTTTGCTCTGTGGTGGTTTTGACAAAGTGGTAGACTTTATTTTCTTTAAAACTCTCGAGGAATTGAAATTTACAAGAAAACTAAGTTCTGCTGCAACCTTCCATGTTCAGATCCATTGGTTCTCCATCTTCAATTCGTTCATGATGGTTATTTTCTTGACTGGATTGGTATCAATGATATTGATGAGGACGCTGAGAAATGATTATGCGAAATATGCTCGTGAAGATGATGATCTGGAGTCGCTTGTAAGTACTGAACGTGAAGCCTCACGCTTACAATCACTTGTGTATTCCCTCTGGTAGCAGGAGTCATTTTTTGTTTACTTTAATGGTCTTTGAGATGTAATCTTATTTTTGAATTTCATAATGGATTTTACAGTGAATCTACTCATCATTTTCATGCAAGCAATCTAATATTCAACAAAAGTAAACTAGTCAAACATCAAGTTTTACAGTACCCTCCCGATAATGATAACTTTTGTGTGTGTGTGTGTGTGTGTGACTGGACGAATTATTTGAATATTCATAGCAAATCATTTTGCATTATTTTCATCTAATCTCTTGATAGTTTTGTTAACTTATATTTTTCTTTTATCAGGAAAGAGATGTTAGTGAGGAATCTGGTTGGAAGCTTGTCCATGGAGATGTTTTCCGGCCTCCTCGTAGCTTGGTGTTTCTTTCTGCTTTTGTTGGTATTGGCACTCAGCTGGCGGCTCTTATTCTGCTCGTGATTGTATTGGCCATTGTTGGCATGTTATATGTTGGGTAAGCTCTAAATCAGCTTTCTTAGTATCCTTTTTTTCTGCATCGCATGTGCACATGTATTAGGCATAGAATACGCACCCTTTGGATTGAAAAATGGAAATATGGGCAATACGAGTGGAGTCTTTGGTAGGGCAATATGAAAGGCCCCAAGTGACAATACAGTTGAAGGTACTTTTGGAGCCATTAATATGCTTGTCTGGAACATCACTAATTGCACAACCCTAATTTCTACAAGGTGACGGATACTCGAATAGATGGACAATGACACAATAGTATAAGCATGGTATATTTTATACCTAGAGATGCCTTTGACCCCATTATTAATTTTGATTTCAACCTCATTGCTATATAATATGGCTTATTTGTTTAGTCCGATTACAACCTCTGTTAAAACTCATCCACGCTGCCTTCTGGAGCAGTGGTCTCTTTATATCAGCGGGCTCAACTCTATCTACCATAAGACATTGGTGAAATAAGTGTACTGCTTTCATTACCATATGGAATAATGTTATAGTCAGATAATATGACTATGAATTTCCAATGTCATTTTTCCTAACTAAAATATCATACTCAACTTGCCAGACGTAGCTTACCATTACATCTGTATTGTGTACTACACTGTTTTATCTTTCATTTCTGGATTGACAATAATCAGTAATGTTTGTTCAGCTAGCTAGTATTTCTTTGCACCCTACTAAATGCTGTACTTCTTATTTGTCAGACGAGGAGCTATCATCACGACCTTCATCGTGTGCTACGCCCTTACATCTTTCATTTCTGGATATGTTAGTGGTGGCCTCTACTCAAGGAATGGCGGTATGTTTCTATATATATAGTTTTTGTTGTTGGACTTGCCCGTTTTATTCTACTATCCTGAAATAGATTATTCAGTTTTGAAATGTTTCAATTTCTGTGTTTCTTATCTACTGTTCACTGAATCCATTTCTGATCCATGGCAGGCAAAAACTGGATAAAGTCTATGATCCTTACTGCATCCCTTTTTCCGTTCTTGTGCTTTTCGATTGGATTGGTGTTGAACACCATTGCTATCTTCTACCGTTCACTGGCAGCCATACCATTTGGCACAATGGTTGTCATATTTGTCCTGTGGGCTTTCATCTCTTTTCCTTTGGTTCTATTGGGAACTGTAGTTGGTAGAAATTGGAGTGGTGCTCCCAACAATCCCTGTCGTGTTAAGACAATTCCACGTCCTATTCCTGAGAAGAAGTGGTATCTTACACCCTCTGTTATCTCATTGATGGGTGGACTACTCCCCTTCGGCAGCATCTTCATCGAGATGTACTTTGTGTTTACTTCATTCTGGAACTACAAGGTAAAGAAAACATATCAGTGAACACTAATGTGCTTCTCAGTTCTCACTTCTCAACAAATTATTTTGCTAGAACAGATGGCATTTACAGTAGATGTGTACCAACCTAAAACTCTTTTTAATTTGATGGATAGATAGTAACCCTATTTCTTTGGTATTTGGCAGGTTTATTATGTATATGGTTTCATGCTGCTGGTTTTTGTTATCCTCATAATAGTCACCATATGTGTCACTATTGTGGGTACTTATTTCTTGTTGAATGCTGAGAATTACCATTGGCAATGGACATCATTCTTCTCCGCTGCATCTACTGCCTTGTATGTCTACCTATACTCAATATACTATTATCACGTGAAGACAAAGATGTCTGGCTTCTTCCAGACAAGCTTCTACTTTGGCTACACCTTGATGTTCTGCCTCGGACTAGGAATTCTTTGCGGTGAGCATTTAAACTTGTATTCATTGTATTTCAAATTGCCACTTGGTCTGTTTTGACACCACGTCTTTGGTTTAGGTGCTGTTGGCTATCTAGGATCTACTCTCTTTGTGAGGAGAATCTACAGAAACATCAAATGCGACTAAATTGCTACTCTGAACATCAAATGTGACCAAAGGGCTACTCCGTTGCCGATAGATCCTATCAGCGAAGTGTGTGTTGCTGGCGCAGGTCCATTGTGGAGTAATGCTCATAAGATTCTGATCAACTTTTGGAAGCTATACAGGAGATTGTTCTCCCTTTGTTTTACCTTTTCTTTTTATGTTTTTCTTTTACTTCATTTTTCTTCTTGGAGCTGGCCTCATAAATGTATACCTCATTAGTTCAGGAATTAGTCTCAGTACCGGGAAGTACATTTAGATTCTCATTTTGTGGTGGCCTCTTTTGGCCAGTAGTAGGATATCATTGATGAATATTGGTGCAGTGTGGATCCAATCCAGTGGCTAGAATTGCCCCTCTTATGAATCGCTATACATCCAATTTTGGCATAGCCTTGTAGTATATGCAAACTAATACATTCAAGTTAGATATATATGGCCTGAATGGGTGAAGTTCTATTTCTTCCCCTGCAGGTACTGTTGAAACATGAATTCGACATGATTATTATTTAGCCTTTGGTCTGAGTTTTCATCCTTGCTGAATTGTCTCTGTGTTTACAGCATCAGAAATCAAGCGTACACTGAAAATAGACAAATGTGTCATCCACATCTGTAATGTTTTGCTTGTTTAGGTACCTTGCTTTATGATAGTATCAGCAAATGATTTAAGATAAGATAAAGATATGCTGCTAACCAGATGGACATCGTAACGTCGTATATCTGCAGGTTTCATTGTACAGGTGTACAGAATTTATATACATATTCGAGTATATAGGTATATAGACACACTGGTGTTGAAGACATCAACTTATTAAGTTATTATGTTTATCTCTACGCACATTGAGAGCATATCAACGTGTCATATCACTGGACACTGGATGACCGGCCATAGTAGCACTTTCTAGCGATCAAGCTTAGTTGACGTTTACGAAGCAGGCACGACGCTCCAAGCCACTAAGCTACTCCCACGTGACCAGCTCACGTGTCACCATCCTGCACGTTCACGGCCCCATCCACAGCACACGTGGCACGGCCTCACGAGCCACCTGGACGGCCGACCAGCCGGCCGGCGAGCTTTAAAAAGCAGCCCCATGTCATTTGCTGATCGATCAACTCATCAACCCGTGCAGCAATCCATCCATCCATAGCCGATCTCAGCTTTTCCATTCGCATTTCTGCTTAATTAGCTTAGCAAGCAACGAATTAACTGCAAGAGAGAGCGATGCCGTCGCTGACGACGGGGAGGTCGCCGTGGCGGAGGAGGAAGAGGGGGACGGCGACGACGGCGAGGAGGAGGAGGACGCCGACGTCGCTCCGGGCGCTGTGGCGCCGGATAGTGCCCAGGACGTCGACGACGACGGCGCCGCGCGTGCGCACGAGGAAGCCCGGGCTGCTGTCGCGCGCGTTACGGGTGCTCTCCTGCGGCGGCGGGAGGAGGTCGCGCGCCGCACGGCGGTCGTGATCATGATATCATCGTCGCCGGCGCCGGCGAGGTTAACTGCTCCTCTAGTCGCTTGCGATACTACGTGGAGTACGTGAGACTAGTGGTGACTGTGCCGTGTGTGTATAATTTACTGCAGTAACAAGTGTGTTCTGTGTTCTGCTTTGCTTTACCGGGAGCAATTACGTGTTGTATGTTGTACACTACTATCTTCTTGTTTAATATGTGTATGTTGTACTATTTCATCAAGTGACAACTATATGAAACCAGTTTGTTTTCTCTACACACCATGTATGTGTGTCGAGTTTTCGCTCGAAAAAAAATTGAACTTCTATGTTTTTCGGTGAACCAATTTGAGTATAATTTTTAACACCGAGGCGAACCCTGAAAGAATTCACGCTATATTTTCGTATCTAGCAAAAGAAATACATAAAAGAAAAGATAATAGTAGGTTAAAATTAAGCAAGAATAATATAATAGTGGGCTAAAGTAAGGATAATAATAAGCTATAAATTTATGTGGATAAGAGATAAAAAAATATGGAGTATTGTAAAGCTAGCTAGGAGTGTTGTAGGGCTAGCTATACACGTGTATATGTTTGAAGATATTTTCATTAAATTTATAGTGCGAGTAGTTAACCTATTCATAAGGGCGCGAGAGGAAACAGAGAAGAGAAAACCTATTCATAGTGGCGCAAGAGAAAACCTATTCATAGTGGCGCGCGAGGAAAAGAGAAGAGAGAAATAGGGTTAATAAATGGTTCGACCGCGAATGCTAAGTAGCGCGCACCAGCTGGTGGCGGTCCCTCCTCAGCTGGTTTCGTTCTCTCTTCTTTTATCTCTTTTTCTGATTTTTTTTTAATTTTCAGCACACGTGTTTTTAAATATTTTGCATTAAAAATTTTTAAATCATGATTTGAAAATTTTCAAATATTAACTAAAAAATTTTAAATGTGAAATTGAAAATATTTATATCTCAAGTTGAAAGTTTTAAATCTGAGTTAAAATTTTCCAAAACTTGAGTTGAAAATTTTAAATTTAAGTTGAAAGTTTTTAAATCTGGGTCAAAATTTTTTCCAAAGTTGAGTTAAAAGTTTTTCAAATTTGAGTGCAAATTTAAAGGTTTTTAAAATTTAACTTAAAAAATTAAAATTTTGAGTTGAAAGTTTTCAAATCTAGATTTAAATTTTTGAAAATTTGTCTTAAGATATATTTTCCTTTTTATTATTCTTTAGTTAAAGAAAATATCGCGGAAAAAATCTCTTATCTTCTACCATTATTATCTTAAACTATTATTATCTAATACTTCCTCCATCCCAAAATATTTAAGTCGTTGTTTTTTTTAAATGTTCGACCAGCGGCGCGTACTTGCGAACTAGCGATCGCGATTCGCGCGGCCACTCCGTTGGGGGATATGCTACAGTATCGGGCCGATGTGGGGCTGTCCATCATCCAACCGACGGTCCAACTGTCCAACTGTCCAGCCCATAACGATCCCGAGGCCCATGGACTATCTCACTTCTCACGACTCCCGATGCCTCCGGCTTCCACGGGTTCTTCCTCGATGCCTTCTCCGGCGCCGTCCGGTCGCTCCGGCGCCGTCCGACGACGGAATCCCTCAGCTCCGGCGGCGCCGGCACGCCGGCGCCGCAGGAGCTTTCCGGCGCGTGGGGGAGGGGAGCAATTAATTAATTAATTAATTAATTAATACAAGTTGGCAACAGCAGAAGCACACCACGAGCGCCCCACGTGGTCAGTGGTCGGCCTCACTGACTCCTCCTCACTTCGCATTGATTCGATCACTCTGCTCTACTCTCTACTACTACTAGCTTCTGCTGCTTCTTCTCCGATGCTTCGATCCCGCGCCGACCTCGATCCGCATTAACTGCCCCTCTTCCGTACGGAGGAGAGCGATCGAGCGATCGATCGATGCTCGCCGTCGTCGCGGGCGGCGGGTTGAGGAGGTGTGCTAGCTAGCGGCGGCGGCGGCGGCAGTGGAGGAGGATGGTGGAGGAAGGGAGGTCACTGGCGGAGACGCCGACGTGGTCGGTGGCCACCGTCACCACGCTCATGGTCGCCGCCTGCTTCCTCGTCGAGCGCGGCATCTCGCGCTTCGCCAAGGTAAGGTATCCCAAACACACACACTCGCTTCGCTTTCCCCCCGGCTTGATCCGATGCATTGCAAGTAATCGCACGATTGATTGGCTTAGAGTACTACTTTTCTCGATCACCAAATTTTTCTCCCTTCGCTTGCTTCATGTGTTGTCCAGTGGCTGCGCAAGACGAAGCGGAAGGCCATGCTCGCCGCGCTCGAGAAGATCCGCGAAGGTTAGTATAGTAACTTAGTAACCAGCCAATCACCACCTTCAGTTGTTCATCTGCGTAAAAGTAATTCATGTAATTTTGCAGACTCTGTAACTGTCGTCTTGATTTAGTAATTTAGTCGTTCATTCATGTGTGCTTCCTCTAGATTTGCCTGCCCATCATAGTTGCCATTTCCCTTAATTTTATCCTCATAGTGGAGCAATGCCATATTTGGAATGGTAAAAGTCTTGCTTCTTGCAAGGTGTTTGATTGTATTCCTCACCAAGGGAAACCCATGCCTGATTGCAGAGCTGATGCTGCTCGGCGTCATCTCGCTGCTGCTGAGCCAGACGGCCCGCTGGATATCGGAAATCTGCGTGCCGTCGTCGCTCTTCACGAGCCGATTCTACATTTGCTCGGAGACAGATTACGAGGATCTGGTGGTAGGAGGGAAGCGCTCTACCATGGAGATGAACCAGACTGTTGTGCCTAATGGCCTGTTTGGTATTCAGTCACAGAATGTTTGCAGTGAGGTAGTCGGTCTGGTTCTATTCCATCCAAGGATGGTCGATTGGACGTTCGAGGCATGGCACTTTTTGGTGATTCAGCTGGTGTTTTCTCTGCTTGCAGGGTCATGAGCCTTTTGTTTCATATGAAGGCCTTGAACAGCTGCATCGGTTCTTGTTTATCCTTGGTATCACCCATGTGTTGTACACTTTTGTAACTGTTGTTCTGTCCATGATTAAGGTAGGTGTGTTGATTATCGGTCAAACATCTTGGCACATGTTTGTGTGTTAATGCGTTTCCTTTCTGTCTTTGAAGATATATAGCTGGAGGAAATTTGAAACCCAAGCATGTCAGCTCCCTACTGAGCAGTTGCAAGGTTAGGCCGTCAATTAAACCATATGCTTGCATTAGCTTGGTACAGTTAGTTTGCTCTACCTGAATAACGTTCATATCTCTCAGCTAGGAGAACTAAGGTGATGCAGAGGCAGTCTACCTTTGTGTTCCATCACACATCTCATCCATGGAGCAAAAATAAAATACTTATTTGGATGGTAAGTACTATTTTCTTCACAGGCAAGCTGCTGTTTGCTGCATTGATTCACATTGCACTGTTTTTTAGCTTATCAGCATATTCAAAAGTAGAGGATTGAAAATTACTGTTTTCATTCACTGGTTGCTTCACCTAGCCATTTCTATAACCTTGAGTGAGTTTTCTGTTTTCTCTAATTTGTGTTCTACAAACTGTGACAATGGTGCAGCTATGCTTTCTGCGTCAATTTAGGCGTTCCATCAAGAAGTCAGACTATATGGCATTAAGATTGGGTTTTATCACAGTTAGAACTCTGACTTCTATTGATTGTTTCAATTTTCCGTTCAGATGCATATTTATTTTGAGAAAGTGTTTAAATGCTTTTGATTTCCTACATTCCTCTGCATTGTGCTTACTTGTCAATTTTCTCATCAGTACCATAAGTTGCCACACTCGTATAATTTCCACAAATACATGGTACGGAGCATGGAAGATGATTATAATGGAAGTGTTGGCATCAGGTAAAACATATTATTTTCCTCTGATGAATTAGGCATTGAAATGAGCTTATTAATTCCGAACAGTGTGTTCCTGCTCTTTCCAGTGACTATATAATATTTGTTCTTTTTTTTTTTCATTTTTTTGACTCCCTGTACTGTATAAATGTGTCAAACTGCATATTGAAGCCAAATTAACCATTTGCTTGTCATCAAGAGATGTGATCTGTTTTTAAGCCACACAACTTCTTTTACATTTTGTTCTATGTTTTGCTGGCATATTTCTCCATGTTCTTAACATTTTGTTTGTTGAGCAGTTGGCCACTGTGGGCATATGCAATAATATGCATTTTTGTCAATATTCATGGTACTCTTTCTCTCTCTGTCAGTCACATACACACATACAGAGTTTTTGTTAGCAGCTTTGATCATTGTTTGATACACTTAACCCTTTTTTGTTATTTGAAGGTCTTAATATATATTTCTGGATATCCTTTGCCCCTGCTATTGTAAGTATTTCCTGTATTTCTTGACCTAACAACAAGATTAAGTTAAATGCCCTCTTGTTTCTTGTTATGTCTTGTCATAATTTTGTGTATTGAATATTTTGAAGCTGGTCCTGCTAGTGGGCACTGAGCTGCAGCATGTCATTGCTCAGTTGGCCTTAGAAGTTGTTGGGGCAACAGCACCATATGTTGGGACACAACTGAAGTTGCGTGATGATCTCTTTTGGTTTGGAAAACCTCGGGTCCTGTGGTGGCTTATACAATTCATTTCATTTCAGGTGATATTCTTTTGCTTCACTCCATATGTTATATTTTTTTTGAAGACACTCCATATGTTATATTATGATGTTTGTATGAACATCATCTTCATCCTAACCTTACTGTTGCTTTCAGAATGCTTTTGAGATGGCAACGTTTGTGTGGTCTCTGGTGAGAATTGCCTCCTTCTATTTATGATTAGTCCTAGATTTAATTTGGTTCATAGTAACAAATATTGCATTAGGGCAAGTCTATAAGGAGAATGAGATGGCTCCTGTATTATGTAATATTTTCTTGATTAGTATGTTTTCAGCATGTTACCACTAAAACATGAATATAACTGTAAACTTAAGCTATCAACTAGATGACTTGGTAGTCCACACAGAAATGAGCCAGTTGTCATCAGTCCTCTCTTCCTAATGAAAATTTCCTATGGATTATTAGATGGATATTTTCATGTTTATCCTATAGTTATTTACATAGTTGCCTTCATCTTTTTCAGTTGGAACTGAGTGCGCAATCCTGTTTCATGAAGAACCATTACATGATTGTTCTCCGTTTGACTTCTGGGTGAGTTTTAGACATCATAGGAAGGTGGCATCTAAATACGTTTTATCATTTTCATTTTGAGAAAAAAGCTGGCACAAAGAAGCGAATTTCAGTATGAACTATATTAGTCGACTTGGGACTCAATGAACTTCTTCCGATCTTTCAGGATTCTAGTTCAGTTCTGGTGCAGCTACAACACATTGCCACTTAATGTAATCATTACTCAGGTATTCTGGTTATTGAACCAACACATCTCAGAGAATCCCTTGCCTAATTTCTCAGAACTTTTTACTACTAATTTCTTGAACGGAAGGGGGTAAAATCATCTTGTCTTACTGATTAAGAGTCCCTTAGTTTGAATAGTCTTAATCTTACCCCCTCCGACACATCCTATACTAGTTTTGTTTTTTTATGGGATGGAGAGAGTATCTGACTATGCAGATTCACTATGTCATTCATACATGAAAAATTCTTATCATATGCTGTAGAATTGGGAGGATAGCTTTATTCACATTTCCTTCTCTTTCTTTTTCTTTTTTTGAATCTCAGATGGGATCCAAGTTCAAGAAATCACTGGTCTCAGAGAGTGTGAGGGAGTCACTCCACAGCTGGTGCAAGAGGGTGAAAGACAAGAACAGGCACAACCTGGCATCGAGATCCGTCTGCTCCCTCGACACCACATACGAGGAGACTGATCATGAGACTGCTACGGTTGGCACCCTGTCGAGAACCGTGTCTGCGACGTCCCTGGACGAGGAGCTGACGGTGGCCACCGTCGAGGACAACGACGACGACGAGGAGATGTCTCGCATCGAGCAAGAGATTGATCGATCGTTGTAGCTCTCGTGAACTTGTTTGTTAATCCTCGTTCACAGAACTACACCTGTGCAGAATGACTGAAGAGGATTCTGGTAGAGCACACGACACGCTAACAATGACAAAATCGAAGCCCATCTCGTGGAGTTGTAAAATATAGCAAACTACAGAATTCGTAAGATCGAATTATAAGACATGTTCAGTTGATGTAAAATGGACATTTGCCATAACTTCGATGTGCTGTGATCTTTGCACTCGATGAAGGTTTTTACAAAGTGATTTTCCGGTCTGATTGCTTGACGCTAATCCAAAAAGTGAACGGTTATGCAAGGTACCGTTCCTCCTATTGTTCAATGGCGAGTCTTTTACTACTCCCTTCGTTTCACAATGTAAGTCATTCTAGCATTTCTCACATTCATATGGATTTTAATGAATCTAGATAGATATATATGTCTAGATTTATTAATATCGATATGAATGTGGAAAATGCTAGAATGACTTGTATTGTGAAACGGAGGGAGTAGTAAGCAAAACTTTGTTTCTTTCTCATTTCTTCATGTAAATTGTAGTGCTAATGAGATGCTCATCTGTTGGCTAGAACGAGGGAGTGTGTTTCTTATTTAACTTTTCGACAGTGTGTTACTGGTTTTATCCAGGATATTGTAATCTCTAAATGTTTATGCAATGAATGAGCCAGCCTTTGTTATAAAGGAATATAAACTCATGAGGTAGCCCTTTCTATTGGACCGAAAAAGGCCCGGCCTACTAGGAATCAAGCAGCCCAAAGGAATAAGACGCCAACACGCGTGCGGTGCACGCGACTGTATCCAGTTTGCGGCTCAAACTCCGGTAGGCTACCACCCGAAGCCAAGAGAGGAACCACGAAATTTCCACGAACAAACACCCCAAATTCCAGGCAGTAATTTTTCCGGAATCAAAAATCGAATGGAAAAACAAAAATTAAAACAAGAGAAAAACAAGGCGTAGGCAAAGTGGCAAACCACGAATCGAAGAAGAGCTTCTCCTTCCCTTTCCTCCTCCATTCCAACCTTCCAACCCAACAACCTCAACCCTCCTCCCTCAGTATCCCCCCAAGAACGCGAGGAGCCGAGTCCGTACTAGGCCCAGGTCATCTTTTGTTGTAGAGGCGATGCAGACGGCGGCGGCGGCGGCGGTGGCGTGGGCGCCGAGCCCATCGCCGTCCACCTCCACCTCATCGCCGCCCCCCTTCAAGGTTAGGGTTACGCCTTTTTGCTGTTTGTTGTTTCAGGGGGGGAACCCGATTTCCTTGGTTCTGCCAAGCTGACGAGTTCTTGATTTGGGGTTTATTTACAGGTGGGGATCGCGTCGCCGTGTGGGACGGCTGCTCACGCCTCCTCCGCGCCGAGGTTGGTTGCTGCGGCCACTCACCGGGGGCGGCGGCGGCAGCAGCAAGGTGAGAGCAATTTCTTGGTGTGTGTGTGTTCTTTTCATGCTTTTCTTCATTTTTTGTTACCTTATTGAGAACTTTTGGATTGGTAGGGGGGCTATTAGAGCTTTAGGAACATGAGTGACAGCTTTTTTATTGCCTGTTGTGCCCACTAATACATGGTTAATTGATTCGTATCTTTAAGATGTGTCGGGGCAATGAATTGTAAGCTACAAGCACTTACTTACTGATGAATTCAGTAATCGCTAATTAGCTGCAAACACTTACTTAGTGATGAATTCAGTATTTGCTAAGTAGTTATCCATAGGCCATAGCGCACCTCGCGTTTAGTACCAATCCAGCATGGTTTATTCTAATATGTTCTCCAATCTCAATGGGATTTTATTATACTCCAGAACCAATTTAGTGGGAGCTTAGTTTTCATATTGTCTCCAGATGGTGATGCTCTAGCATACGAACATCTCAAATCAATTATAAGCAACACCAGGTCGGTAAGTTTGGACCAAGTAGGATGTAGGAACACCATCTACTGTTGCTATAGGTTAGACATAGGTACAGTCTAGACCTTTTGCTTGCTGTACTGTTTTTTCAGGGGTAATTAAGATGCTGGGTGAATTGGGATTCAGTATGATGCTAATTCTGTTTGGATGCTGCTCTTGCAGTGGTTAAGGCTATTGCCAACCCAGACCCAGCAGTTGAGCTGCCATTGACAGCTGAAAATGTTGAGATTGTATTGGATGAAGTTCGACCATACCTTATGGCAGACGGAGGAAATGTTGCATTGCATGAAATTGATGGGAATGTGGTGAGGTTGAAGCTGCAAGGAGCATGTGGATCATGCCCAGCTTCAGTAACAACAATGAAGATGGGTATTGAGCGACGCTTGATGGAGAAAATTCCTGAAATTGTTGCTGTCGAGCCCATTGCTGATGAGGAGACTGGCCTTGAGTTGAACCAGGAGAATATTGAAAAGGTACTTGCTTATATTTCTGGCTAAATAAAATTATACGCAAAAGGTCTCTTGTAGAGTACATCATGTCGAAGTAGCTTAAGCTTTACCGTGGCTAATTGATTAACTTACATAATAGAAGATAAAAATTCTTCTGAAAAATCTTTTTGTGCCACACTAATTACTTTAATAGTGCAATTGAAAAGGATGTTGGGAACAATAACTGTATGGCATTTGCTGATGTCCTGCTTTATAGTTCATATTTAAACAATTTGCTTCTGATTTCTTGCTCTCTGGTTCTGTTTTATTTAATTTCTGTATTGTGATAATCTTCTTTGAAAATAGCTTTGAAGATGACAATTTCCTTTGATCCCTAGTCACTGTATAATGTTCCATCTTTTGAGTCTATTTTGGTTGGGAAAAAAATTGCTGTGATGGAAACTAAACTGCTGGAGCATGCTAAATTTCTTTTTACCTTTATTAGGTACTCGATGAGATTAGGCCATACCTTTCTGGCACAGGAGGTGGTGAGCTTGAATTCGTTGCGATCGAGGAACCTATCGTCAAGGTTAGGCTTACGGGCCCAGCTGCTGGTGTGATGACAGTTCGCGTTGCCCTAACTCAGAAGCTCAGAGAAAAGATACCTAAAATCGCAGCTGTCCAGCTATTGTCGTAAGCCTGAAAACATTTAGAAAACAACCCCTGCAATGTAAATGTGCCGCTACAATAATCGCCAGGAAAGATTGTAATGGGCTTAAAGCTTTGTAACCTGTTACTCTATTCTACTTGAACTACGAATAGTGATCATCAATATGAAATGTTGTAAGGGTGTTCCTACTGGATTTATTTACAAAAGGTTTTGGGCTTCTATGATTTTGTCTGTACAATTTGTGAATATCACTCTTTTATTTGGAAGTTCGTTGAAATAGAAAAGGGCACTACAATTTTAATTTCACTTGATCTCTTATTGAGTATGAGGCCTTCAAGTATGGGATTAGTGGTAGCTGGTGAGGATTGTATTATCTTCTGTCAATTCATAATTTTGGTTTACTAGTGAACAAGCACATGCATGACCAATCGGAATGAAATTCAACATGGTAGTAGCTGTAATGAGGCATATTAATGACTGATAATTTCTTCTTTATTGTCACATAAGCAGCACATAGAAGTCGTCCTTACCGTATGCTGAACAGTGACACCATTTCAGTTAGGCTCTGTTTAGTTCGTGAAAAGAAAATTTTTTGTGTTATATCGGACGTTTCACCGGATGCCGAAAGGGGTTTTCGGACACGAATGAAAAAACTAATTTCATAACTCACTTGGAAACCGCGAGACGAATCTTTTGAGCCTAATTAAGCCATCATTAGCACATGTGGGTTACTGTAGCACTTTATAGCTAATCATGGACTAATTAGGTTTAAAATATTCGTCTCGTGATTTCCATGCAAACTGTGCAAATAGTTTTTGTTTTTATCTATATTTAGTGTTTTATGCATGTGTCAAAAGATTCGATATAACGTTTTGGGAAAAAAATTTTGAACTAAACCGGCCTTAAGTCTGACGGTGAGTTTACTGGGTGTCAATCACCTTATTAAACTAATACATATATCGATAGTAAATTCCGAAATTACATGAGGCGCCTGTGGCCTAATGGATAAGGCGTCTGACTTCTAATCAGACGATTGTGGGTTCGAGTCCCACCAGGCGTGTTTTGTTTTTTCTTCTTCTTTTTTTTCTCTACAAGATCGGAGACAGATGGACGGTCAGGGACAACGAGCCTATTCAATATCAGCCGTCCACGTGTCTGATCGTTGGTCACCAAGCACCCACTGGCCACTCGTCTCTCTATAGTGAATAGTCTATCCTCGCATCGCATACTCGTGCAACACGGCTTGCGAGCGGCGGCGCGGATGGGGCTCTGGGAGTGGCCGTGGGATCGCCGGCGGCGAGGCCCGTCGGGCTTAGGCCCCACCTCCACCGCCGAAGAGGTCACCGCCGGCGTAGACGCCACCCACCTCACCGCCATCGTCACAGGCAACCAACCACACCTTCCCATTGCAGCAGCAGAATCCTCTTGATTTGGTGATTTTTATTTATTGATTTGGTGATGGAAAGAAGAAAAAAACGAAATGCAGGAGCGACGAACGGGATCGGGAGGGAGACGGCCCGAGTTCTGGCGAGGAGGGGGGCGGAGGTGATCATCCCGGCGAGGACGATGGAGAGCGGCAACGCGGTGAAGCAGAGCATCGCGGAGGAGGTCCCGGGGTCCAGGCTCCACGTCATGGAGATGGATCTCGCCTCGCTCGACTCCGTCCGCCGCTTCGCCACCGCGTTCGACTCCTCCCACACCCACCTCAACATCCTCATGTATGCCACACTCACTCACTCACTCACATGATTGCAGTTTGCAAAATGTTCAGAAGATGAACAGTTTCGTGCAGGGGAAACTCTTTTGGTAGCTGGGATATCAGTTCATTTATTGCATGTCAAATACTACCTCCATATTTTAATGTATGACGCCGTTCACTTTTCGACCAACGGACAAAAATACAGAGGGAGTAAATGGTTATGGAAAAAAAATCAAAACAATAAGATAGATTAGTACTTAATATATTATTTAAAAAATGCAAGTTTAAATTTGACTTTTACCGGTTGTTATAAAAAATAATAAATTTGACTGTAAATATGCATCTACTAGTTAGAGTTTAGTTCGTTATTTTCGTTACAATTTATAAAAATCAAATTTAAAATTGCGCGTTTGTGGAGTGATAAATTTTATTTATAACTATTTAGTTAACATGTAATAAATGGGTAGACGTCTAGCCGGGTGATTGAAATCCCTCTCCTTTGGTGCAGCACTTATCTGAAACTGAACTCCCTTACAAAAGTCTTTTTTTCTTTTGCTGTGCTTGTCTGAAGAAACAATGCAGGGATAATGGGGTGCCCTTTCAAGCTATCCAAGGATGGGATTGAGCTGCAGTTCGCAACGAATCATGTCGGTAAGAATGACGCGTGAACACTAGTTCGTTGCAAGTTTGTTACTTATTTTTTGAGCATATGCTGAATTTTACTTACAAGTACAGGTCATTTCTTGCTTACAAATCTTCTGCTCGACAAGATGAAATCGACGGCTAGGAAGACCGGCGTGCAGGGCAGGATCGTGAACGTATCGTCTATTGCGCACAAGAGAAGTGATGGTTCTTGCTTTGATCTGAACAAGCTAAACGATAAGTCTAGGTCAGCAATGTGTTCATTTTTATTGTTACCGCGTACATTATCACAATGTAAGTATCTAAAAGTATTGTTCTTGTCCTGTTCCGAAATTTATAGGTACAAACCACTCATTGCATATGCACATTCCAAATTAGCTAATATTCTTCATGCAAATGAGCTAGCAAAGCGTTTTCAGGTACACATTTTTTTGGCCTTTTCTCGTTTATCTTGTTCATGATGATTGATGACTTTGATCGTTGAAGAAAGAATTAGAGTTTCTGAGAATGTCGAAAAACCCGACTAGTAGTATTAGCAACAATTAAGACAAAATGTTAGTGCAAGCACAGTTGTTCAGTGCTTGTACTTGTGTGGTAGCTAACCCATTTGATTTACTCTTCATTTTTTAGTGATGAAATAACAGTGTGGATATATCACCCCTTGGGAAATAACAATCTTGATTCCATTCAGGAAGAAGGATGTAATTTGACTGCAAATTCCCTGCATCCTGGAGTGATCCTCACCAATATCACTCGTTATGTCGTCACAAACAGTAATGTCAACACAAACCTTTCTTCAGTTATTATTACCTGTTCCAACCTCCAAATCCCATATCCTCTGAATATTTCGCAGGCGTGATGGTTTCAATCCTTTCTGTGGGAAACCTCTTTCTGAAGAACACACAACAGGTAATCGATTCCAATCTTGTTACCACTCAACAATCCAACTGTAAAATCTTCAGTAACTAGCTAGTGTCACAAATAAGATATATTTTAGCTGGCATGATGAACTTCAATCTAATTTTTTACAGGGAGCTGCAACCACATGCTATCTGGCACTGCATCCTGAACTGAAGGATGTCTCCGGCAAATACTTCGCGGACTGCAAGGAAGCCACGCCGAGGCCTGCTGCGAGAGACGCAGAGCTAGCGAAGAGGCTATGGGATTTCAGCGAACAGCTCGTGGATACTAATCGTCGTGGAGAATTCAACAGACAAAAATGACACTGTTTAGACTGTCTGAAATTCTGAACCTGACCATGTCTCAACCTGAGATCCTTCAGATACAGAATTTTATTTTTTATTTCTATTTTTTATTTTTTTTCAATGGAATGATACAGCTTATATAATATGACCATAGAGCTGTTTGTCAGTACTGTTGTTTGCATGTGTAAACAAATTCAAATGCATTAATAATCAGCCTGCTTTTTTTGCCATTTCGTTTCAGAAGAAAATAATTGGTCAACCTGTTTTTCTTGACCGTTCTCGAGCTCCATCCATGGATATGGCTAAGGCTCTTCCAAGAATCGACGAAATGGACTAAACGGAGAAGAAATGTCGCTGCCAATGATACCAATAACTCTGGAGTCTGTAGTACGAATTGTCTGCTCACGTCAGTGTCATTTTTGTCCAATCAATCAATCTAGACACCTCTGAAAAGTGAAAACCGGTTTTCCACAGGTGATCTCTGAAAATTCCAAGTGTGAGATCCTTCTGAACCTGTTGAAAAATCATCTGATCAGAAATTCAGAATCTTCTTCGCCAAACAAAAGCATCTTCAGACAAAAATTCAGAACACTGCGACCGGTGTTGTCATGTGTGAAGTTGTGTTACACTGTGCGCCACACAAGTCACTGTCTCCTCCCAGATGGAGAACGGCAACAAATACTTCTGCTTCTGCACAATTCTGATTTCTCTGAAACTTCGGCTGCTGACCAGTTTGTAGTTCAGGAGAACAAGGAGGAGGAGGAATGGGGTTTAGCTGGGGATGGCTGTGTGGACGGCGCAATGGGCCATCGGGCTTCGGCGGGGCATCCACTGCCGACGAGGTCACCGCCGGCGTCGACGCCAGCCGCCTGACGGTCGTCGTCACAGGTTTGCTCGGCCTGTCGCCGTTTCATGTCTTTGACAATGTTCTTGATTTCCTTTTTCCCTTCATTTTATCAGCGTCCGTATATATAGGACTCCGGGATTTTGTCCAACAGTTTATTGGATAAATATGAGTATGAAACTTGAATTTAGAGGTGAATTTGTATAGTTTGTAGATTCATCCGGTAAGAATGTAGTGCAGCACTGGTACACACCATTCTGAATTTCTGAAAGCATGGTGCCAATTCCACTCAAGGTTCAGAAAACAATTGAAAAGAAAACAATTCAATGAATCTTCGCGCTGTCTGCTGCGGATCGTTCAAAAAAAAAAAACAACTGAAAACTAGCTGGTAGCCCAAACCTGGTAAACTCCATTCTCAATCAGCTTTTGTACCAATAGAATTCTAGCTGATACCACAAATTCAAATATCTGAGAGAAGAAGAAAATCGAAAATTCAAATACCCTGATCCTACAAATTTTCATCTTTATTTCATTCTTTCTTCCATCATGTGATCCATTTGGTACATACCAGGTGCAACAAATGGCATAGGAAAGGAGACAGCTAGGGTCCTTGCACTAAGGGGAGCAGAGGTGATCTTACCAGCAAGGACACTGGAGAGTGGCATGAAGGTGAAACAGAGCCTTGCAGAGGAAATCCCCAGCTCAAAGCTCCATGTCATGGAGATGGATCTTAGCTCCCTCGACTCCGTTCGCAGCTTCGCAAAATCGTTCAACTCGTCTTATAGGCATCTGAACGTCCTCATGTATGTGTGAACAGTTCGGCATCACTGACTGAATTGCAAAGTTTCAGTAATGGAAAATTGTGTTACTGAATTCACTGACAAGTCATTTTTTGTTCTGTGTTTCTCTGAAGAAATAATGCAGGGGTAATGTCCTGCCCTTTTGGACTATCCAAAGATGGGATTGAGCTTCAATTTGCAACGAATCATGTTGGTAAGTATGTTGTATAGAAGCTTGGCAACCTGAGATACCGATTTCTTGGAGCAAAGCGAAGAGATACCGGATGAATTAATCACTTCTGAAATTTTACTTTGTAAACAGGGCATTTCTTGCTGACAAATCTCCTTCTCGACAAGATGAAAGCCACGGCTAAAGAGACTGGTTTGCAGGGCAGGATCATAAACGTGTCTTCTATTTCGCATCGAGGAAGCGATGGTTCATGCTTTGATCTAGATAAGCTGAACGACAAGTCGAAGTTAGTAATTTGCATTTGTGTTCTTCAGGCTGACTCAGTACAGCAAATTGAACCAACGTTCTTACTATTTTATAAAACTAGGAAGGTAGCATGTATCGTAAGTTGTGTTCAAGAAATTTATAAGATTGGAATATTAACCAGACAGTATATGCTACGCTTCAAATTTCAAAAAAAGTATTTCTCTACGATTGTTTTTCAACGATATTCTTTGATAATTTTTATAAGCTATTTGTTAGTTTTATACAACAAAATATTTAATTCATCCCTATGAGTAATTATCCATCCAGTTATCGAGAAAGAAAGTAGACTTATTTTTGTTAATAAATCATGTTTAATAAATTAAATTCAAATTAAAATTGAAGTGTTATTAACAAAACAAACATTATACACTGATGATTTGATTCATCTTCACCTTGGCAAATCAGTATTGCTGCGACACTCGTGATGACCTTGGTAAATCACCTTAGCTGTCTTAGGTGTGGTGGTTCATCTCGGATGTTTTACTTTTCTCTCAGAATTTCTTGGATTTTTCTAATTTATTAGAGCGCCACGTTATGGCTTAGGAGCATTTGTAGAAAGTTTAATAGACTTTTAGTACTGCCTCTGTCCTAGAATGTAACAACCTAGGATAGGATGAGACCCATCCTATATTCTGGGACGTAAAGAGTATATGATAGATAGATAGATAGATATAGTATTATGAAATTTACTCTTTTTATTTATATAATGAGTTGCTAGCTACAAAATAGGGAGGAGAAAGTGAGCAAGGAGAGAGGAGCGAAGATCATATATATGTTATTAATTTAATATTTAATTACTTTTTATTTTTCATGTAAAAGATAGGATTTTTTTCCAAAAGATATATTCTTGTATATCCAAACATGGCCAATGTAGATAAATAAAATATAATATAAAAATTATAATCATTTAGAGAATTTACTTTTATTTACATATTGAATTTTGCTAGGTAGAAAATTGGTAGATTGAATGGAAAATGGCAAGACAAAAGGAAGTACAGGAGAGGAAGAGACGTATGTACGTACGTACGTCAGGGGAGAGGAGGTCTCGTACGTACTTGAGGGCCACCTGAGAGGTGGTGGGTTAGGGGTGGGAGGAGATTATGGATTGGGTTTTAGGATATTTTTTAAGATAAGATCTAATGGTGAAGAATAATGGGTCTACCATCTTAAATGAAAATTAACGGTCGGATGTTTTGCTTTTTTCTTAGAATTTCTTGGATTTCTCTAATTTATTAGAGCGCCACGTGGCGGTTTGGAAGTGTTTGTAGGAAGTTTAATGGATATATAATAGATATATTTTCAGGTACCGTCCGTTCAAGGCATATGGACATTCCAAATTAGCGAATATTCTCCATGCAAATGAACTATCCAGGCGTTTTCAGGTCTGTAATCTCGGACATTTCAATGATTCATGAAGAAAAGAAGCCTCCAGAAAATTTATATTCATTAAAGCAAACCTTCATTAAAAGTAGTATTAGAAATGCACTTTCCAACAATTTTCTGCATCTTGATTTGCTGCTCCAGCCGAACACAACTTGGCACTCTTATTATCTATAACTCAGGGAGTTCTTGTTATATTTCAGGAAGAAGGATGCAATCTGACTGCAAATTCCCTGCATCCTGGAGTAATCGCCACCAACCTCCCTCGCCACATCCTGACAAACAGTAATGCAATCAAAAACTCAACAAAAACTTCCATCAACCAACTGTTTGACACACCACAATGCTCCCTCTGCAGGTCTGATTATATCAATCTTCTCAGTCATGAAACCTTTTCTGAAGAGCATACCTCAGGTAACGATAGAAAAGCAAGCCTGACTAAACGAACAACAGCATTCTCTGCCCAAATGATCAATGCCAAGAAATGATCAATATTTCAGGGAGCTGCGACGAACTGTTATCTAGCATTGCATCCTGGATTGAAGGACGTGTCCGGCAAATACTTTGCCGACTGCAACGAAGCTACGCCGACGGCTGTTGCAAGAGATGCAGAGCTAGCAAAGAAGCTGTGGGAGTTCAGTGAAGAACTTACCAGTGGAGATCAGAAGCTGAAGGAGAAGTGAAGGTAGCGACCTGAACCTGAAGTCGGCGGCGACATTGGAAGGAGCGCAGTGCGCAGAGTTTGGTGGACTGGAGCTGGAGGGATGCGACGCAATGGAAGTACGAAACCATGAAAGCAATGGCATCGGTTTTAGGCTAGACTGAATATGTCACTGAAAATTTTGCTTGTCCTAAGTATACTATTAGTATATGTCTTGTTCTAAACTTGTTCGGTTGTTCCTTTAGGCAAGACTGAATATGTCTTGTTCTAAACTATTAGCTATGTGAGTGTGACTATGTCATCCGATGACGATTGTACCCCTACATTCAGGGGCGAATCCACAGGGTATAACACTGTTCTAAACTTTATAATCCCATTGGTGTTAGCTCATGTTAGCACGTAAAGAGTGTAATATACTACTCCCTCCGTTTCACTATGTAAGTCATTTTAGCATTTCTCACATTTATATTGATGTCAATGAATGTGAGAAATGCAACTTACATTGTGAAACGGAGGAAGTATATATTTGATAGGTATATGACACCCGGTATTTTTGTATTTTTCGTTCTAGATTCGCCGCCGCCTACATTTGTATTCTTTTTTTTTTCTGACATTAGGTGTGAGGTTTGAGGCTTTAAGCAGTGATATTTATTGTTTTTTTAAGAGGGCAAGCATCCTTGAGGCTTTAAAAAAAATACTGTACATAAGTTTTTGGGAAGGTTCATACAATGGTATAGTATACCATAGAATTAAACTAGTATACTCACCAGTTCTGTAGAATTAAACTTTCCTTCAAAATTTTAGAAGTTTTATGAGCCTGGTCATATGAAAGGAAGTTACGAGATATATCTATTCTAAGTATTAATATGAAAATAAACTATTAATTTGTAATTTTACGCACAAACCTTACCACTATGAGCATCTTCAAAGACTAGGCCAGCAAATCCATCCTGTAGATTGACGAAGTTACAATAAGCACCATCCTAGAGATTGACGATACATTGCCTACCACTAAAAGCACAACCATCCTAGAGATTGACGATACGTTGCCTACCACTAAAAGCACAAAGCCGTTAAATCCTGGAAAATTCGCTCCCATGAGGAGTCAAACCCAGGACCTATGGTGCTACTGAGGCTCTTATAACCATTAGGCTACAGGCATTTTCGCTATTAATTTGTAATTAATATTGAATAACGCTGCGTGAGTATTATTTTAAGATATGTAATATAAGTAAACCATCATAGTAATCACTTGCATTATACTTCCTTCAAATATTTATATATGGCAATTTTTTAAAAAATATTTAAGATTATACCTTTTTTTTCAATTATACTTTGCTATTGATTCATCATAAAATTTTTTTATTAGATATACTTTGAAATATAGACCTATTAGCATAATTTTTTTTACACTAAATAAAAGTTTGTATCGGAGTACAATTTAAATAATCATTGCTAAAATACACTACTATTTTCAAACTTGTAAATTTCCTAGCACAAGATTGTAATCCTACTTGTGAGTAAGAATAAAAAATAATAATAATACAATGAAGAGGTCTTTTTCTTTCTCTCTCTCTTTCTTATAAAAAAAACTTATCATCAGTTCTGTTATAGAGGGTCCAATGGGCCTCCAGTGGGTGTAAAAAAAAAAAGGCCCTCCAGTGGGCCTGGGGCATCTGACGTGTCAAAAAGTGCAACACTAACCGCATTGTTTTGTATTAGTAGTTAATTACCGCGCTCTCTAATACGCCTGGGACCGGGACTCCGGGAGAGAGCAACACTAAGCACTGGGCACTAAGAACATGGATTAAGCGCAAGTAATCCTGTAATTAAGCTAAGCTAGTTAATTAAGCAATTTGGATTCTACGAAGCAGCGGCGCGGCCAAAATCCCCCAAATCCTCTCGGAGCCCGAGGTCGCTTGGAGTCGGCGCGGCGGCGCACGCAATGCCCGCCCTGCAGCCTCCACCGGCGTCGTCTCCGGGGCGGGAGCGGGAGCGGGGCGACGCGGCTGCTTCCTCCGCCGGTGGGCGCCGCCGCTCTCGCTCGCCGCCTTGGAGCCCTCGCGCGCGGTCCCCGTCCCTCTCGCGGTCGCCGCCCTCGTCGTCGTCGTCGTCCTCCGAGGATGAACGGTTTGTGTGTGCTGTCTCCGCTGCTCGCTCCATTCCTTCCTCCCCTCCTCTTCGCCGATCCTCGTATCGATCGTCTTGGGGTTTTGGTGGGGGTTTCGTGCGGGTTTTGGTTGGGATTTCGTGCACATCGTGCTATTGATTCTCCATTTTTTTTAACCCTGCAGTGAGAATTGCGAGACCCAAACTGAAACTGCATGGATGGAATTGGGATTCTCAAATTCAGGGCCTCGAGGTGTAACTGAGATCACTTATCTTCTGAGGTCCCACGAGCTCAAGATCAGTGAGTTGGAGTCAAAAGAGCAGATTTACTGCAACAGCCTGGTTCAACTCGAAGAGAGAATCGCATCACTAGAATATTACAAGGTCTCTTCTTGTGTTCAGCAAGAGGATTTCTGAAACCTAGTTTCATATTGTACTTTTGTTTCTTATACATGAGCATGAGAAAAAACATATTGCAGGAGAAATTGCTTACAAGACTTTCATGGACAGAAGAGGCCAATTCGACTTTGAGATCTGACAATTCCAAATTGAAGAATTTGGCATACAGTCTTAAGGAAAGGGTGGACGAGTTAGAAAAAGACAACTTCATGCTAGGGCTGAAGATGAATGAGTTTGCTCAAGAGATGGAACGATTTCAGATGCAGGTAAGCTAGCGTTGTAGCTTATGCTTTTATAGTTACTAGTAATCAGTTGCACGTATTGATAAATATGAACTAATTAAACCACTTAAAAAAATGCCCATATTTAACATTTACCTTTTCACATGCACAGTTAGCAGCTATGACTATCAATCTGTAGCTTCAAGGAACGCATAATACATAGACAGTGGAGAAACCAGAAAATTGAGAACCATAGGATATCCTTGAAGAGAAATCTGTCAGCCTTGCGGTGATCTTTCCTTTGCTATATAAGAGTAGCAATGTACCTTAGAAATCTGTCAGCATTGTGCTGATCTTTCCATTGCTGTATAAGAGTAGCAGTGTACCTTAGAAATCTGCCAATGAAAAAAGTGAAAATTATATGGGAGCTGTATCTCTATTATCAATTTATCATAAATTTATAAGATACCGTTGTAACAATATTATTTTGACAATATGGTGCATCTCCAAGGTGAACAAACGCAGGTCCTGTTAAGTACTTTGAAAACTGAGGGCTGATCATCTTCAGAAAATTGCTTCTGCTTAAGAAAAAAAAGGCTGATTATATGCAAGTTCTTTGATTGGGGCACTAATGCATGCATATTGAAGGGGTTTTCCGAGAATCAAATTGTAAACAAATAAATTGTGGATTTGAAACCACAAACATGATCTCGTGGAAATTTTGTTAGGGATAGGCCGCAGATTGAAGTCGCACTGGTGATGTCACGTTTCTGTTGCCGGTGACCTCCTAAAGCTGCATCCAAATTCTAGAGCTGCAATGGTGTAGTTGTAGCACACAAGCAAGAACCTAACCCTAGGATCCAGAATTCTTATTGACTACTGCATGTGACAATATCAAATTCATTATGTCATGAATCTAGAAAAAAAAGAAGAAAGGGTGGTTAATTGGATCTCCTCACAACCTGACAATATATAATTAGTTCATAGCTTAGGTTTCCCTGGTGAGTATAACAGTGAATAGCAAAAACATCTATGAATTTTCTTCATTAACTAAGTTATTGATTGTACACATAGAATATTTAGGACATCTGTTCATGTAGATAAAAGCAAAGGAAAGAGTGACATCGCCAATGTCACAATGAGAAAAGGCTGGAAATAAAATTCATATATGCGATACCATAGGAGCTGGAATGCACGGGGATTTGAATCAATCGCAAGATATCTGAACTGTGATCTTCGAAATTCAGAGCAAATGAATTGTGCGAGTCCTGATGGCTGATACCTCTAATTGCCATACTTTTCAGTCCAGGACAGAGCATTTATGGCTAGATGAAGGGCAAGGATGTAATGCTAATATGTTATGTATCACTTTTATCTTGTTGTTCCCATGAAAATGCACTTGCTACTTGGCTACTTGCAACAAAAAATGTACTTACAAGTTCAGCCATCAACCCATTGTTAGGGTTTGGGTCACTTAGCAGCAAACCAATGCTTGTCAAAACAGTAGCAATTTTGAGCAACGGTTGCCAGGCACCATGCACATTAGTACTTGTACAATATAACATAAACTAATGCTGGATATTTATGGTTATTTGTTGAATACTTGAATATGCTGATATTTACCATCTTGGCAGGTAGGATCAACCAACACACAGATGCAGGATAATCTTGATGATATGGCCAAAGCTTTTGAATCTAAAGAAAGACATGTCACCTTCACACAACAAAAACTAGCGGATTCGATCAACCATCACGAAGAAAGAATCACAACACTAGAACAGGATATAAGCCAATGTACTCAACATGTTCAATCACTTCAGGTCAAGGTAAGCAAGTTGTTTACTAGCGCTCATATTTTGATATTGTATCTTTTAGATGCTTGCCTCTGCAAAAAATGATGCTTCATAATGCTGGGTTAATGCTACTCTTTATATTCTGGAAAAAAAAGGAGCGACCCAGAAACAAATAGATCTGTTCAAATTCAGGAATCAATGCCCATAGTGACAGGTTAGCATTGTCGATCTAGGCAGAGGCTGGCATTTAACTGTCTTGCTTGATCTGGGCCTTGAGGCTTGCAAATGTGGAGTAACAGGGGGCAGACCCAGGGGTGTGCCGGGGGCATCCAGAAAATTTCTAGGATCAATTATGCAGTCCATAGCCTTGCAGCTGTGAGAACAGGTGTATGCACCGTGCAAAGCTCATTAGATCATTAATTCACCATATGCTTGCATGCAGACATTAAGCACACTCAAATAGCACATCAATGCAGCACTGTCATGACCCAATAAGAGCTCTAGTATCCCATTGGGGGTAGCAATGCTGTGGGCTCTAGTATCCCATTGGGGGTAGCAATGTTGTGGGCTTGTGGCAAGTAGGAGGCCAGAGATTAATTAGGACCCTTAAGCTGTGCTGCACTGGAATGGTTTGGACTTCAGGTTCGGGCTTAGACGGTCGCTTGCTGAGCCGCTCATGCACCTTGATGAGGTGATGCCATTAAGGAGGTCAAAGCAAATGTTTATAGTCCTTGGTGACAACAGCAGCAAGCTAGTGCGTTATAGGACTTGCTTAGCATTGTCCAACACAATATTGCTAGATCTAGGCCTTGTGGCTTGCGGTTGTGATAGCATGTTGGCATTGTCCTTTATGAGGTGATGTCGTTGAGGAGGTCAAAACAAGTGGTGATAGGCCTTGGTGACAGCAGCAATTAACAAGCTAGTGTGTCATAAGACATTTCATTTTTATCTCTTGTTGGATATGCTGATCCTTATTTTCTTGGCAGGTAAAATCAAACACCAGTCAACTGGAAACCAATAATAATGATCATCATTCGCTTGAGAATAGGATTCAAGTTTTGGAATCAACAGAAAGGCAGAACGCTTCTAGATTGGTGAAAATGGAGGAGTCTATTATCCATCAGCATGAAAGAACCATAGGAGTAGAGCAAGACTTGAGTGCAAATATAACTCAACATGGTCAGCAAATTCAAACGCTCCAGAACAAAGTAAGTAAATTCTGTTTATTATGCCTAACATTTTGCCCTGTATAATTTTTAGAAATTCCTTACTGTATAAAATGTGGGCCTTGGGGCTTGCAAATGTGGTAGTAACAGGGGGCGGACCCAGGGGTGTGCTGGGTGGGGTCACAGAAAATTTCTAGGATCAGTTATGCAGTCCATATCCTTACAGCTGTAAGAACAGGTGTAAGCACCGTGGAAAGCTCATTAGATCATTAATTCACCATACGCCTGTGTGCAAACATTAAGCACACGCAAATAGCACATCAATGCAGCACTGTCATGACCCAATAAGAGCTCTAGTGTCCCATGGGGGAGTAGCACCGTTGTGTGCTTGTCAGCCTGTGGCACCTAGGAGGCTGGAGATTTAGGGTGCTATTGGAATGGTTTGGACTTTATATTCAGACTTCAGGCGGTTGCGCGCTGAGTCACTGAAGGCTGCTGCAAGGGCTAGGGTTTGCATTCTCGAAATTGGGGTTTTTGTCGGGGGAGGGGAGGGGGGCTGAAAGAACTGAAATTTCGGAAGTTTCAGTACTTTTTTGGCCGAAATTATTTGAAATTTTGAATGAATTTAGATAAACTTCGATCAAATTCACAAAAAAAATGAAAAAAAGGGAAAATTTCGGGCGAGATATGTGCTTGCCGGTGAGGGACGAAATTACCGAATTTCAGAAATTTCTGAAATTGCAATCACTGGCAAGGGCTAGTCATGACAATGGAATTGTCCTTGATGAGATGATGCCGTTCAGGAGGTCAAAGCAAATGTTTATAGTCCTTAGTGGCAGCAGCAGCAAGCTAGCACATTATAAGACTTGCATAGCATTGTCCAACACAATGTGGTAGAGTAAGCAGTATTGCTTGATCAAGGCGTTGCGGCTTGCAGTTGTGACAGCATGTTGACATTGTCCTTTATGAGGTGATGGCGTTGAGGAGGTCAAAACTGTTGGAAATATAGTCATTATTCGGCATATTTTAATCCAAGAAATTGAAACAATGATCATGGCATAAGCAGTGTAGGGTGATCTTAACGTAACCAGTAGCATACTATGCGCATCATGAATGTCAGAAACATGAACATACCAGTAACGCGATAACATGCTAGAGGCATCATGTAGAACAGGAACAAGAACATAGCGCACATAGTATAGCGCTAACAATGGGAACAGGAATAGCGCTAACAGCAGTAGCAGGAGGAGAAGATTATACCCCGAGAATGGCCCTCCGCTGGATGGTGAGGCAGAATTGCCTCCGTTGTTGTAGTCGTTCACGGCACCTCCTCCTGGCGCAGCAGCTCCGGATCTAGATCCAGCTCCTGTCGGTGGCGGCGTACCACCTCCGCCAGCAGTGGCGGCAGCAACTCCAGACATGGCGATGAGCAGTCGTGCGGGAGGCACTCCCCAAAAACATGATCACCCGCCTACCCGGTGCAGATCTCAGGCGAAGGTGTGGTTTCGGAGGCACTGCTCCTTCCAATCTCTCGTGCGCGCAAGAGATCAGAAGCGGGGAAGCGAGAGCAACTCAGGCACGGAGAAGGAGAAACTAACACCGGGGGAGAAGCGAAGAAGTCGGATCGGACTCGCGGCCTCCTTATCTATCAGGAGAAAGAACGTGGACGCGCTGTTGCGGAGGGAATCGTGGGAACGTGGGTTAGTGGCTGCAAAAGGATAGTGACGTGACGCCTCGCCTCGCCCACGCCCACGCCCACGCCCACGGCCCGGCGCGCGCGCGCGCGTGTGGCATTCCGACCCCCACCTCAACTGGTCAACAGGGAGCCTCCAATAACTCCCTATTTAGGTTGAGATATTTCTCGCTTAAATCCAGAGGTGGTATTATTATCCTCAACATTTATTATGGGCCTTTGAGATTTAATATTATAAGTTGGGCCTAGCCCAATTATTCTAACAAAAACAAGTGGTGATAGGCCTTGGTGATAGCAGCAACAAGCTAGTGTGTCATAAGACTTACTATAAGACCTTTCACTTTTTTATCTCTTGCTGGATATGCTGATCCTTATTTTCTTGGCAGGTACAACTGCAAACCAATAATAATGAAGCTCATTTGCTTGAGAATAGGATTCAAGTTTTGGAATCAGCAGAAAGGCAGAACGCTTCTAGATTGGTGAAAATGGAAGATTCTATTATCCATCAGCATGAAAGAATCATAGGAGTAGAGCAAGACATGAGTGCAAATATAACTCAACATGGTCAGCAAGTTCAAACGCTCCAGAACAAAGTAAGTAAATTCTGTTTATTATGCAGATAATTTTGCATTATATTCTTTTAGAAATTCACTATATTATAAAATTACATCTCTTGACTGTCAATATTGAAAATAATCCTTTATTTTCGCCAATCTAAAAAATAATTATGTTTTTCTCTTAATTTAACTTTGTAGTGGTAAAGGATAAATACATGTTATTTTTATAAGTCAAGAAAAAATAATAATTTACACTCTTAATTAAATTTCAGGAAAATGATGTTCTTATGAAGTCTTTTCAGTCGCTGCTCACTTGTATGGTACCATTTATTGTTGCGTTTCTGCTATCAATGCTTAGCAGCCAATCTGATTTCGGTGAATATGAGAAGGATCTTGTGATTCAAGTTTCGTTGGTGTGTGGATTACCTGGCGTAATGGCTATGGTCTTTGCTCACTTAGCAAGTGGACCATTTTGGACTTCTATCGTAGCAAGCTTGACATTATACTTTGTCATTTATAGCATCACATTAGTGTATTATGCATTCATAAGACTTCTACCATGGAGTCCATGGACAAGATTGCAGTTTTATGCTACTGTCATTCTTCTTGCAATATTCCTGATCGTGGTCCTTACCATGCTGATTGTTTGGGGGAGTTTTGTTAAAAAACCAAAGGTACAACTATTGCTGGTGTTCTATAATCTATTCAAATTTATATGTTATACTAATTATATGTTTAATTTTCAACAATAGTTCACGCGTTGGATTGCAAGTTACTTTTCATGTTGTCCAGGGCCTGAATGATAGATGTCTATTACAGGAGGTATGTACCTCTCAAACACAATTAGAAGTCTCCACCCTATATGCTTAACATCGTTAAATATTATTTATGGCTGTAGGTAAACAAGTGACTACTCTGGTGCCTTGCAAAGTTTATCATTGAAGACAAGTTGCCAATGAAGATTCAGAAGCTTGATTGTGTCACATTTGTTGTACAGATGTTACTACTATGTCTAGAAGTTTTACATACTTAGGATAACGTTGAAGAACTTTTGCTCATAGCTAATAGAAAGCGAGAGATATGCTAACTTGGATAAAGTCTAGATATTTCTACTGCCTTCAATTCCTTTTTTTTAATCAACCGTAAACGAAGTTATGCATGGTTAGGAAATACTTCACATTATTTTTTTTTTAAAAAAAACTTATTTCACAGAATTAAAACACTGAAGAAATTTCTCTTTTATTAGAGAACTTGAGATGCTAATATGGATGATGCTATGTTTAAAAGGGAAATAATACCAAGACAACGAAGAAGTAAAATATAACATTTCCATTGTTTTGGTATAATGTAACATTTCGCTTGTATATATGGAATGTAAAGATTAATGTTTGCACTTAGCAGATGCGATGATATTTTTACTCCTTGGTGCGTGCGAATTTCCTATAATAGAACTATCCTTCCCAATGAGTATTGACATGGATTTATTCTATACCTATTAAAATTTTTAGTTAATCCCTTTCTTATTGGGATTAACTGAACAATCTACTTACCTGAACCTGGGATTTCAGTAATTCATAACCCATCAACAAACCAGCGTCGTTGGATCTCCAATCCCTTTTGCATAAGGATTAACCGAACAATCCCCTTACTAGAGGGTAGGATTTCAGCAATTAATCAACCCACCAACAACCAGCGTAGTTAATCTCCAATCCCTTTATACTCTTTTTTATCTCACTATACAAGACGTGCATGCATTCACTACCATAGAACACCTGATAGGCGTCGGTTGGGAAACCCCCTTAGCCCTTATTCGGTTAATCCCATGAGTGAGGGATTGAAGGGGATTTATTCTACACCTATTGCGGTGTGGAGTTATTCCCCCCAATCCCCTCCAAACCGAACAAAGCCTTAGTTGCCGACTTTCCTAACTGGTGCCACGGAGGCGGCACCGATGACTCGAGTGATTGGTGTCGGTTTCAAAACCGACACCTTTGAGACGTACGCGAGCCAAAAGAAAAAGGCTCGATACACCGAGTGCATCCACCCCGCGTTGCCCCGAAATCTCAATCCACAACATCATAGAACTCCACATCACATATCTATAAACATTGCAGAACAAGACCGACACGGAAGGAGAGAAGGTTGACTCCACCACTGCTCACCGTCGCTGTACGCCAGATCCGCCGCGGGAAAAGCCGACGCCGCCGCCACCGCCGGATCCGCCGACTCCTCTATTGCTGGCGAGTGAGAAGAGAGGGGGAGGGGACGGGGGCGAGAGGGAGTGAGAGGGAGAGAGAGACGAGTGAGGAGGTGGGGGGGAGGGGGGGCGTCCTTATCTACGCAGTATTTTATCTCGATGCCCGCCCCGTGCGCTAAAAGAAAAAAAATGGCTCTAAGCTCGGCTCAGTTTGTTTTATAGGGTGTCGTTTTTTTTAAAAAAACCCAGCACCTATAATATATTATGGATGTTGGTTTTTAATTAACTGACACCTATAATACGTCAAAGATACTGATTTTTTTTAAAACCCGGCACATATAGTAAAGGTGTATGTTTTTCTCTAGAACCGATACCTATAGTATATTCAAGGTGTCTTTTTTCTTATTTTCAGCCTGTGGAGGTGGGAATAACACTATAGGTGCCGGTTTTAGCTGTTCCGGCACCTTTAGTGCCGACTTGTATTAGGGGTTATGGGGTAGTGATTTTAAGATTTAACATTTAAAACATTTGACTAAAAAATATAATATAAATTAAATTTTATTTGCTGAAAATAATATCATTGAATTGATATTTGAATTTAATTTACACTAGCAAAAGTGCCGGTGCATTGCAACGGGAAGTGTAAAGACAAGAAAATTAAGGAAAAGTTGAAATAGATTTACATTATGTAATTAATTGAAATACAAATTTCCTTAAAAATTTGGATATTTTTTAAGTTGGTAAGTGTATAATTAAATTATACAAACTTGTATAATTAAATTATAATTACACTCTTTGGAATTTTATTGAAATTTTCAGAGCTTAATTGCTAATTTTGATAATACAAACATAGTTTTAGCATTTATTCTTCAGCCTTTTTTTTTGACGGGAAACAGAAGGAGAGACTCCTACTGTGCTATATTATAATAATAAATAATTTACAGGGGTATGTACAAATTTACAAGGGAAAATTAAAGAAAGTTGTCAATCCATGATTGCCAGTTTGGAAGATATGTTACTTTTGCTCTGTACATATGCAGGGCAAATTCTTGATGAAAGTCATGTTTCCACTTGTCAAAGCTGTAGGCGATGTTTTTGAATATTTGTTCATTTCTTCTGTTCCAAATGTGTCAGCATCCAAATGCTAGAACTTCAAAGAAAAAGCTATGAGGAAACTGGTTGTGTGCTGAGGTGATCATGTTCATGATGTCTGACTGCAAGTTCCAATGGATTCCAATTTTTTGCCAACATTGTTGAGCAGTCGGGCATTTGAAAAATAAGTGTATCATATCTTCAGTGAGGCTGGCATTACACATGACGCACTGTATCCCCCCTGAATGTTAAAATTTTTCTTCTGGAGCATCTCCTTAGTGTTAAGTCTGTTCATAAGCAAAAGCCAGAGGAACACCTTTAATTTCATTACACACTTGCTTTTCCATATCAAAGTAAGAGGTCGTTCATGTTGCAGATGGACAAAGAACATTTTATAAACTTTGTTGGCATGAAATCGATCAGAATTCCAGGGTAAGTCCATTTATCCATATTACTGCCATTGTATAAGTTCTGCAGTCTGTCTGTGAGAGTTTCCCATTCCTGCGTTGCTTGGCTTGAAAGAGGTATGTGAAAGTTTTGACTGAGCTCTGATGCTTGTAAGAAACTTTGAATCGTGGAATCTTCGTTCCTTGCAAAGGAAAATAGAATGGGAAATTCGGATTCCAGATAACTGTCAGTCCATTTATCTTTCCAAAACAGAGCAGTATCCCCTTGCCCCAGGGTGCATTGAGCGAACGCTCTAAAGAAGGGAATCAATCTGAAGATATCTTTCCACCAAAAAGATCCTTTTTCCTTGTGAGCCTGAGGTGGTTTGTCTGAATTAGAATAATGTTTGTTCCAAATTAACTGTACCCAAGGCAGGTTCTTTTTGTTAAAAAAATTTGTCCAAATGCTTGAGAAGAAGAGCTATGTACTGAAACTCCAGATTGATTACTCCCATACCCCCTTTCTTTTTTGGCCTACAGACTAGATCCCAAGCTGCCAGGGAGTGAGTTTTTGTTTCCATATTAGAATTTTTTCTCCATAAACAATGTCTTCTGGCTCGATCGATGTGTTGGATAACCTTTTTTGGCAATTTCAGAGTGCACATGTAATAGGTTGGAAGTGATGAGAACTGAATTAACCATTGTAAGTCTTTGTCCATAGTTTAAGTGAATTGCTATAGATGGGAGTCTTCTTTGTCCATAGTTTCAATTCTTCAGCCTGCGAATTGAAATTTCCCGTTCGTTCTCTTCTGGGTAACCGAAGTTGAAGTGCTATTTGATGCGGACTCTGTATGATTTGTTGTGTGTTGGACTGCGGATGTTGCGGACAAAAATAGGTGAGGACGGGCAAAAATTTCACTGGAAGATTAGGTATAGGTATATAGAATGTTAGATTAGAGGTAGATAACGTATAAACGATGAAACCAAATAGAAATCGAAATTTTTTCGTTCTTTTTTTTATTTTAGACGGAAGATGGAAACATTTTCAATTTTTTGAAGTATATAAGTAGAGATAGAGATTAGCCATTTTCGTTTTCTTAGAGAGTACTATCACGAAAAACGTGGTAGTTTATTAATCTATAATTAATTAAGTATTAGTAAAAAATAGATTAATATGTTTTCTAAAACAACTTTCGTATAGATAATTTTTGCGAAAAATGCGCCTTTTAGTAGTCTTAGAAGGAAACAACAGCCTTAAGGGACCTAAACTGAACTTATTCCGTGTGGAGCATACACGCGGCCCAAGAGGCGGCATGGGAATCGCGGCCCGACGCAGGAGCAGCCACAGCCTTCTGATCTGATCGACACTCCAGATTGATCCAAACCTATATAAAAGTTCGGCAGCTAAACCCTAACCCTAAAATCATTTTTTCTCCCCCCCTCTCTCAAAACAATGCCATTGCCTCTCCCCCTCCGCCACGGCAGTGCCGCTCCCCTCCCGCTCCCACGGTGGCTGGCGGCGGCAAGCGGCAGGTGGGGAGGTGGCGGGCAGGGGCGGCGCCGTCCCCTCCGCAGGATCGAGCAGGAGGGGAGGCAGCGGCGGCCCGACGTCCCAGTAGCGGCGCCTCCCCCTCCCCTACCGGTGGCAGCGCCGCTCCCCCTCCCCCACTGGTGGTGGCGCCGCTCCCCCTCCCCCTCCCACGGTGGCGGGCAGTTGTGGCGTCCTCTTCTCCGCCGGATCCAGCACAACGGGAGACTCTCCTTCCCCCACCGGCGGCGGCGCCGTTCCCCTTTCCCCTCTCCCTCCCACGGTGCCGGGCAGGGACAGCGCCCTCCCCCCCGCCGGATCCAGTGGGAGGGGAGGCAGCGGCGGCCCGGTGTCCCTGCGACGACGGTGGCATCCTCCTCTTCCGGCGTCGGTGTTTTTATGCTTTTATGCTTGTGATGTTCTTGTGTTATAGTTGTTGTTGATGAAATATGTTCTTGTGATCTTGTAGTAGTGTTCTTGTGATCTTGTAGTAGTGTTTTCTCTAGGATTTTGTGATGATTCTGATTTGTATTTGGATTGAGATTGAGATTTTGTTTTTTGGGTTGGATGTGGGATTTGGAGAGGAGGTGCGCGTGAGGTTACAGACGGACGAAAAATAGCAGTACGGATGAAAAAGCGGTGTGACAATTGGAAAAATACGTACGAATCTTTTAATTATTTATATGGTTATAATTTTTTACTATAAATCTTAAAATATATGAGAAATTATAATCTATAGATTAGTTTTGGAGACCGTACTGAGTTTGATCGTGCCTTATATTATAGTTAACTAGAAAAACTGCCCGTGCGTTGCAACGGGTAAAGACGCTGAGCAATAAATTGAAATATTGGGATCTCTATACATTATAATTTAAAAAGTTAATGAAAATCTTGATATTGGGATGGCTATAGATTATAATTAAAAAAGTTAATGAAAATATTTCCTGAGTTTTGGGCCGAAAGCCATCCTTCCTTTTCAGCCCTAGGCC